GTGCGCCAGTACAAGCTCTTCTCCTTTGTCAACAACGTGCTCGAGGGCCCGATTCCGGCTGCGGTGGCGCCGATCCCAATCACAGCCGACACACGCGTCACCCTCGACGCCCGGCGACTCTTGGCGCTACCGCCCCACGCCCGGATCCCTGATGACTTCAACCACGTGGTCGTCCTGCGTCTGAACGATGCACTCCGTTACGCGTGGGGCAGATACCCCCCCCCGACCATGCTCAAGTCATGGCTCCGTTTTAAGACTTCAGCGGCCCCCCCTTTATACTTCAACTTGATACTGCGCTACCAAACACTACAGCAATATGGGCCGAGTGTGATTCGTGCTGCTTGTTTGCGAGCGTCGGTCGATTCTCTACATGCCAGAGGCTCGTGCATTCGGAATCGTTCAAGCAAAGGTAACATATATGGCGCGCCAGTGTTTCGGACCTCGAAATGCTCGAGACCAAGGGGTTTCCCTTGCTCGAGACGCAGAGGCCGCGTGTGATCCAAGCGACGCAGGGTCTCTCTACCACTGCAGTACAAAAACGGATCGTGTTCGTCTGTTCTATCCTACCTCACAATACCTATCTTCTCTGAGCTCTATGTCATCGTCGTCGGGGTGCTTTACTCGTCGTCCTTGAGCTTGGCGAGCGTCGCTTGGTGCGCAATCTCGTACTCCTTCCACGCCTCCTTTTGCCGGTGCGCGACCATGTGATGCTCGAGCACCTCTTCCATGAGCACCTTGTTGAACTCGGACGACGCGCTGCCGTACGCGGCCGCCTGGAACGCAATCACGAGCTTCGAGATCTCACGACCCGAGAAGCCATCGATGCGCGACGCCACCGAGACAAAGTCGTCGTACTCGATGTCCTTGACGACGATCTGCTTGGCCTTCGAGTTGGACTGGAGCAGGTACTTGTCGACGTACTGCTGGAGCATGCGCACGCGTTCGTCGAGGCCCGGGAGCTGGAACTCGACCATCTCATCGATACGATCGTTGATCGCCCAATCAAACTGCTCGGGCTGGTTGGACGCAAACACAATCATAAACTTGTCGCTGGCTTCGCCCGTCCGGTACAGGAACGCGTTGAGCGCGTTGCGCATGTCTTCACTCATGACTATAAGAAACAGAATCAGTCCAGTATTCGAGACGACCATGGAGAGCGTACCGGCGTTCGAGCGCTTCTGCAGGAACGCATCGGCTTCGTCGACAAAGAGGAGGAGACCGCGGTTCGAGTGCGACGCCCAGTCAAAGAGCTTGTGGATCTCTGTGACACCTTCGCGGCCAAGCGGCGCGACGTCACCGCCCGTGAGGATCGCATACTCGAGGCCCGAGTGGCGCGCGAGCGCCTTGGCGAAGAGCGTCTTACCCGTACCGGGCGGGCCGTGCAGAAGCAAGTGGCGGAACGGCGCGCGGTTCTTCTTCGTGTTGAACGTCGAGACCGCGACCGAGCGAAGGCGTTCGTCGAGCTTGGGCTCGAGAACAACGCCCTCGAGCGCGTCCGAGGGTGCGCCCATGCGAAGAAGGCGCTTCACCGACGGGATCGGGTTGGTCGCGACCTGGAGCGCCGACCGGCGCGAGGTCTCACGGACAAGGCTCGGCTTGCCGAGGCGGGCTTCAATGTAGCGGCCGGTCACGCTCGTCGAGACTTTGGCCGTATATACACCAAGCGCAAGGAGAGAGAGCGACATGACCGTGGCCGAGAGCTTCTCCGAGTCGCCCAAGAAGGCCATGACACCCGACCCGACCGTGTCGGACGCGAGCTTGATACCTTCCATGACGGTCTCGCGGTACTCCTTGGCGCGGACGCGCGCTTCCTCGAGATGCAGATCGTGGTTCAACCGTTCCTGCTTGATGCGACCTTCGACTTCGGCCGCCACCTTGGCCATCTCCGTCTTGGTGCGGAGCTCGGCTTCGTACTCGAGCGTCTTGCGGCGCGAGGCTTCCTGGCGCGCAAGCATCTCTTCCTGCTTCTTCATCTCCTGCTCCTTGAAGAGCTTCTGCGCCGCCGCCTGGTCGGCCCACTGCTTGCGCTTGAGCTGGTCCTGGTACTGCGCGCGGCGCTGGTTGTGTTCAGTCTGCGCTTCCATGTTCTTGCGCGACTCCTCGCCTTCCTTCTGGATGCGCTGCACTTCGTACGCCTTCGTGAGCGCTTCGTTCTCCTTGACCTTGGCCTGGTACTCCATCTGCTTGGTCGTCTCGGTCTCCTTGGCCAAGTTAAAGGCTTCCTTGGCGTACTTGGACTTTTCAAGGTCGCGGGCCGCCTTGGCCGCGCGCTCGAGGCCCGACGGGTCGAACGAGTAGCCGTTGTTGCTACCGCCGCTCGAGGCCTGAGCGGGCGCCGCAGGGGCAGGGGTGGCAGCGTTGGCCGGGGTCTCCTTGCGTCCGCCAAAGCCAAACATGATGCGCGGTACGATGAATCTTCTGGAATAAGGGCTCTGGGCACCAACAAAACACGAGGGGGGATGGTCCAACTGCAACTCGCATTTAATGACCTTATCTTTTGTATGGAATGTGAAATGTTGGAATAAAAATAGTGATTGGCCGAGTCGTCCACCGCCGCCAGTGGACTAAACGCACCCAACGTGCGATTGCACCAGTCTGGCGCCACGCGCAAGGACATGCACGGCCTCGCCTGTCGTCAACGACGCCTTGCACAAGGATGCCCATGTCTACTAGGTAGCACCATAGCAATACATGCACCGCGTCTGCAAAGGCGATCCTTGTCAAAATGGGCATGGCGTCCGTCGAGCCACAGGAAAGTTGGGTGTTTTTACTGCGCTGGTTGCGCCAGCTTGTGGCGCAGCTTCCGAACCGCACCGAACGCGGCGCGGCGGCTTCGATCTGCGTCGGTCCTTGTATCGCATGGGAAAGGCCGAGCCAATGACGCGACGAAGGCAGTGCCAACTGAGTCAGCACCAGCACCGTCCTTCTTGATGAGCTTGCTGGAGCTGCAGTCGCTCACAGGAGCGCCGTCCAGGAGACACCAAGTGCCCAAATCATTGCCGCCCAGTGGACGCACAAAAGGTACATGTATTCGCTGACAATGCCCGAGCGAATGAGGTCGATGTGATGAGCCCATGCTGAATGCGTTGCGACTTCATGGCTTTGGCATCACTTCGAGTACGACACCGCCACGGCCGGGCGACTGTTTGTCTCGCCCTGGCGCTCGTGGTCGCCATCTCGAGACAACTCTCTTCGACGCCGTCGAGTCCCAATGCGATCTTATTCCAAGTCTGCAACCACACAGGTTTCTTTCCTGTGACCTTGGATGCAACAGCGAAAGCAAAGAAGGGCCGGCTCTCGCCTTTCGACCGAGCCGTTTCGTTGGACGCTAGCGTCGTCGTTGCGCATCAAGCGTACCAACTTGGGCACGACCCGCTTATCCGACGCGGCGCAAGAACAAGGAGGCAACATCACAGAACGTAGTGGAATCAACGGCGTCGTATTACATGGTCCAGCCATGGCCCGTGAGGGCACATGACCTTTTCAAACTCGGCCCGTGACCCCTCACCCTGATCTAAAACTAGATCCATCGCTTACTCTTCGACGTTTTCGGTGTGCGTGCCCTTGTACGTGGCGACCTGGACGTGCTGGACGAGCGTGTAGAGCTTCTCCTTGGCGTTCTCGTCGTCGTTGCGCTTGCGCGAGAGACGGACGCGGACGCGGTACGGGATGTTGCGCACACCCTGCGACCAGATGAACTTGTTCAACTTGGCGTCGATGCGGACATCCGCCGTCTTCATGGCCTTCTGGGCGAACGACTTGATTTCGCGGACGGCCTTGGGGGCCTTCTTCTTGAAGGTACTAAGTGCTCGTTAAGGAAGTCTCCAAGGTGGGAGCTACAGAGAGGAGCTTTGGAAAAGACATGCAGATAAGAGAGCGTCAAAAAGGATACGCGCCATGGAGACGCTTGTGGAGGTTGATCGTGTAGTCACGCGAGATGACGTCGGCGACGACCGTCTTGGTGTGCTTCTTGGTGTTTTCCTTGGCCATTGTGATGCGACTTGAGCTCAGAAGGGTGAGTTTTGGAGTAGGCCAATCAGCCCAACTCGAGAAACCACGACGACCAATACTTTTTCACACCAGTCATTTGCCACCACGCCGCAGATAACCAATCAACGACCAGCATCACAACTCCGGATAATTTCATTTTATCCGGACCCGCCCGTTTTCAAAATACAGAGCCTCGTTTTGGAGTTGCTGTGCAGGACGATCCTAGCGCGATCAGAAGCAACAAGCGGGGACGCCCCGTGCTGCTATTGAAGCTACTTGTCAAGCTGGAATAAACGACATCCGACGATCTGTAAAAGAAGAGGCTTTCTTTTGGGAGAGCATGTCGAATTGCCGTTTGTACGAACGATACGTGTGGAGTGGAGGCAAGCTCCTGCAGTTGTGTGCTAACAGGTTGAACCAGGTCGAACACGAAAGGCTGTCGACATAGCTGATCTTGTTTTGTCTTGTGGCCAGTCTAATGCAGTCCATGCACGTAACGTATTAATAGCTTGGCTTTCCCACTGCAGACGAGATCGACGACCATATCCAAGGCAAATGAACGGGCGCTTGTTCAGCAGCAGAGCCATATCTCTTGGCTCCACTCTTCCTACAACCAATAGCACTGCTTTGGAGAAAAACTTGTTGGGATATTGGATCCGCTGCATTGCAACTGCGCAGCATGTTGACGAGCAATGCAATCGCAGCGCTCAACTATATAACGTGCTTGTGGGTCCAAGCGGTAGCTTATGCAAGCAGAAGCCTCGTCGCAACAGTTGTAGACAGTCTTTGATTTCGCGCAAGCCACAAGACAACACGCGTTACCGGAGCCGAGTGGCATGCAGCCAAAGTTGTTGTTCTACGACGAGAGCTATGCAAGGTCAAAGCACTATCGTACTATGTATCAACCGACCTCATAATCGATGGAAAGATCTCCCAGACAACGAGAAGTGCCAAAGGAACTACAAGCAAGCTTGACATGATCATGACCACGAGGGACATCGCCCTAAGTGTATACCCTCACACACAACTTGCACCAGATCTGCTACGACAAGGTACAGTACCAAGGAGCGTTCGTCGTAGTAAGTTAGTACAATGCGCAATAGCCATATCGAACGCCATAGCGCTTGCAAAGGAGAAAAGCCTGTCATACTACCGGTACTGTAGTAGTGCAGATAGTAGCTGGCACTCGATAAGCTCTGGTATGCTGGCACCAGCGAGGGTAATAAGCTTTGGCAGAGTGCGACACTCTGTCCTTGCCTCGCTTGCGCGGGCTAACGTAGACCGCGAATGGTGCTAACGTTATTAGACTGGTGGTGCTGTTTGCGCTCGCCGCTCTGCGTGGCCTTTGTCGCAGCTTGGGCACCCGCAAGAACTTGTTGCGATGTGGCAATCCAGTGTATCCGTAGATCATCCGGATATGCGTCTGGTGGATTTCGCGTCAAAATTGAAAATGCAGCGGCTTTTTCACGGTGCTTCGTCCATGATCATCATCATCTTCCTGCTCATGGCCGTCTTCTCGTAGCTCCGGCAGGCCGGCGTCTCTGGCCGCGCGCTGCTTCTGCATGGTCGCGCTCGATGGCCTCGTCCAGCGACGCTACCCTTGCGACGCAGGACTTTCGCACGCACACGTGCGGCGCGCTGCGCGAAGGCGACGTCGGCAGCAGCATCAAGCTCTCCGGTTGGGTCGATGCTGTGCGCGCGTTCGGGCCGCTCACGTTTGTGTCGCTTCGCGATCGACATGGCACGACGCAGCTCGTGTTCTCGGACGAACGCGTCGAGGCCGCTAACCAGCTCAAGCCCGAGTCAGTGATCCGCGTCACCGGCGCCGTGCGCGAGCGCCCAGACAACATGCGCAACGCCAACATGGCCACGGGTGCGATCGAGGTCGTCGTCGACAGCGTCGAGACGCTCAACACGTGCGCGCAGCTGCCCATCCAGGTACACCTGCTCCACGCTCCAGCGATGGCATCTCATGCGAGTAGGTGAGCACGGGCTCGGACGTTGCGACGGAAGAGACGCGGCTGCGCCACCGATACCTGGACCTGCGCCGCGCCTCATTGCAGCAAAACCTCGCCGTTCGCTCCAAGGTGGCCATGACAGGTATCAACATCTTGTTGTATGTACTCCACACGACATGACTACTCATTAGCGCGCAACTACTTGTGCGACCAGGGTTTTCTCGAAATCGAGACGCCGACGCTCTTCAAGAGCACGCCCGAAGGCGCCCGCGAGTTCCTCGTGCCCACGCGCACTAAGAACCAGTTTTACGCGCTCACGCAGAGCCCGCAGCAGTACAAGCAGGTACTACACCAACGCGTCGTCGCCATCCTTTCCGTGATTTCACACGACAGTCGTAGCTGCTCATGGTCGGCGGCTTGGACCGGTACTTTCAGCTCGCGCGCTGCTACCGTGACGAAGGCGGTCGGGCCGATCGCCAGCCCGAGTTTACCCAGATCGATCTCGAAATGTCGTTTGTCAACCAGCACGACATCATGGGCATGATCGAGGTACATGATGGCACGCATGCTGATGGTCGCGACAACTGTATTTAGGGCATGGTCAAGCAGATCTGGCACGGCGCCAACGCCTCGATCGATATGGCGACGCCGTTCCCGATCATGAGCTTTGACGAGGCCATGGACCGCTTTGGCGTCGATAAGCCCGACACGCGTTACGGCCTCGAGATGCACGACGTCCACGCGCACATGCCCAAGGACGTCTTTGGCGACGCACCGGTAGTGCGCGCGATCAACGTCAAGCAGCTCGGTCTGCACGGCTTCTCGCGCAAGGACATTAGCGAGCTGGAAGCGCTCTCAAAGCGCCTCTCGGTCGATGGCAAGGGCGCGTTTGTCGTCAAGGTCGACGAGGTACATATGACGACGCCTTGGGATCTTGAGCCAACGTGGAGTAGGGCAAAGCGTGGAAGTCGTCGCTGGCCAAGAAGCTCTCGGACGACCAGCTGACAGCGCTCAACACGGCCTTGGACGTGGACGCGGGCGACGTGCTTCTTCTTGCGTCGGGCTCGTACGCCTCGGTCTGCACGCTTCTCGGACGCATGCGTATCCAGTGTGCGCAGATGCTGTACGCCAAGGGGTTTCTCCAGAAGGAGCTCGACCCGTTCAACTACCACCACCTCTGGGTCGTGGACTTTCCCATGTTTGAACTCGACGAAGGCGGGAACGGGCTCTCAGCGACGCACCATCCGTTCACGGCGCCCCAGGCCGCGCACCTCCCGGCGCTGCAAGCGCTTCTGGCGACCAAGCACAATGCGTGGGAAGACGACGCGATGCAAGCCGCGCTCCTCAACATCAAGGCGCAGCACTTTGACTTGGTCTGCAACGGCTGGGAGCTCGGCGGTGGCTCGATCCGTCTTCACTCGATGGACCTCCAGAATGCTGTCCTGCAGCAAGTGCTCAACTTGCCCGAGGTGCAGAAGAAGAGCTTTGAGCACCTTCTAAACGCGCTTGGCCACGGCGCCCCGCCCCACGGTGGCATTGCCTTGGGCCTCGACCGGCTGGTCGCGATCCTCTGCGGCGCGTCGAGGTACTTGTGTCGCATTTGAGATGCATCACCGCACTCACGCCATGTAGCTTGCGCGATGTGATTGCATTTCCAAAGTCGACGACCGGCAACGAGCTCATGACCGGATCGCCCGGCCCCGTCACGCCCGAGCAGCTCCTCGAGTACCACATTGCCGTGAACCAGGCGACGACCGCATAGAGACGATGATACAAACACTACACGTGGCAACCAAATGAGCGTGTAGCCGGCAGACGAACGACGAACTTTCGCTTGAACGTTGGTGTTGGATGGTCCAAGGATCGCGCGCTTCAACACCTAAAGTGTCCCACCCTACCGCTCCCCACGAGCCTGCAGTTCCCACCCGCAGCGCATCCCGCGCCACCAGGTGCTGCCGGCCATGGGCCCACCACAGCCCCCACCACATTGCATACTCGCGCGTAGGCGTTGAGGTCATGCGCTCTGTTCCTGGCAGCGTCCTCGCACGTGGATCACTACCGGAAGCCAGTTCCGCATCATCCTGCAAGCTGCCAGCTGGGCGTCATGGGATGGACGCCCATCGCCAAGCGCCTCGCGTAGTCGTCCCACATAGCAGTGTGTATGGAGCTCGTACCTTGCATCGTCTGCATCAGTAGTAGCGCATGATCTTCCATGCGTCGTCGTCCATGCGTCTCCTGCATGCAGCATATCTTGTGGCCAGGACAGCGCCATCGTGCCAGCCTCTGAGCGGCCGCCACGAGGGCATGACGCAATCACATATCAACGGTTTCTTCTATATGTCTCAAATGCCTCTCTCTTTCTCTATACTGTCTCTATTAACATCTTTGAACAAGTATAAAATCTGTTTCGAGACGGTGGTGAGAATACTATAAATACCGCCTTCAACGTGCAATTTATTGATCCCGATACAAAGAATAAATGAGAATAAAAATAGCCCAATAAAATACATTGCCTTGGCTCGGATGGAACATTCGAAGCCAGCCTTTCTGCCACGCCAGAGTGGCTTTTGCATCCAACCAAACCCGGTGGAGGCACGTTCCTGCCTCGCGCCTGCGCCTCCCACGTACCCACCCGAGTAGCTATGGCACGGACCCATGCCGAGATGCTGGCGGCGCCGTACGTGCGCGGCCAGACCGACCTCTTTGAGTACCTGACCGCGCTCATGTCGACGCGCATCTTCATCTTTGATGGTGGCATGGGCACGATGATCCAGAAGCACAAGTTCTCCGAGGAAGAGTACCGCGGCGAGCGCTTCAAGGACTGGCCGCACCTTGTGAAGGGTAACAACGACCTCCTCTCGCTCACGCAGCGCCAGGTCATCAAGGACATCCACACCGAGTACATGGAGATTGGCGGCGCGCAGCTCATTGGCACCAACACGTTCTCGGGCACGACGATCGCGCAGGCCGACTACCACATGGAAGACATCGTGTACGAAATCAACTATGAGAGCGCGGCCTTGGCGCGCGAGGCGTGCGACGAGCTCACGGCCAAGAACCCGCTCATGCCCCGCTTCGTCGCCGGCTCGATCGGCCCCACGAACCGGACGCTCTCGATCTCGCCCAATGTCGAAGACCCGGGCTTCCGTAACGTCACCTTTGACGAGCTCGTCCAAGCGTACTACGAGCAAATCGAGGGCTTGATGGACGGCGGCAGCGACATCCTCCTCGTCGAGACGATCTTTGACACACTGAACGCCAAGGCCGCAGTCTTCGCCGTCGACAAGTACCAAACCGACAAGCAGACGCGCATCCCGCTCTTCATTTCCGGCACCATTGTCGACATGAGCGGGCGTACGCTGTCGGGGCAGACCACCGAGGCCTTCTACGTGAGCCTGCGGCACTCGAAGCCGTTCTGCATCGGTCTCAACTGCGCGCTTGGCGCGAACCAGATGAAGCCGTTCTTGCGGCGCCTCGCCAACGTCGCCGAGTGCTTCGTTTCGGTGTATGCCAACGCTGGTCTTCCGAACGCCATGGGCGGCTACGACGACGACCCGGTGCTCATGGCCGAGTACTGCGGCGAGTTTTGCGAAGAGGGCCTGCTCAACATGATTGGCGGCTGCTGCGGCACGACGCCCAAGCACATCGCCGCGATCGCCGCCGCCGCCGCCAAGCACCCGCCGCGGCCGACGCCGTCGCCCAAGGCGCCGTTCATGTGGCTCTCAGGGCTCGAAGACATGGTTGTCACAAAAGAGCGGTTTGCCTTCCTCAATGTCGGCGAGCGCTGCAACATTTCCGGCTCGATCCGTTTCAAGAAGCTCATTCTAAAGGGCGACTACGGCACGGCCATGGAGGTCGCGCGTGCGCAGGTCGAAGAAGGCGCGATGGTCGTCGATGTCAACGTCGACGACGGTATGCTCGATGGTGTCGCCGCCATGGAGCGCTTCCTCAAGATCGCAGTGACCGAGCCGGACGTGTCCAAGGTGCCCTTCATGATCGACTCGTCCAAGTTCCACGTCGTCGAGGCCGGGCTCAAGTGCGTCCAGGGCAAGTGCATCGTCAACTCGATCTCGCTCAAGGTCGGCGAGGCCGAGTTCATCCGCCATGCCAAGATCGTCAAGAGCTACGGCGCGGCGGTCGTCGTCATGGCGTTCGACGAGTACGGCCAGGCGGCGACCGAGGCTGAGAAGGTCCGCATCTGCAAGCGGTCGTACGACATCCTCGTCGGCCCCCACGTGCGCTTCCCGCCCGAAGACATCATCTTTGACCCCAACATTCTCACGATCGCCACCGGCATGGACGAGCACAACAACTACGGCGTCGACTTTATCAACGCGTGTCGCGTCATCAAGGAGCAGAACCCGTACTGCAAGATCAGCGGCGGCGTCTCAAACCTCTCGTTCGGCTTCCGCGGCGTCAACGTCATCCGCGAGGCCATGCACAGCGTCTTCCTCTACCATGCGGTCAAGGCCGGTATGGACATGGGCATTGTCAACGCCGGCATGCTCCAGATCTACGACGACATTCCCGCCGACCTCCTTCAGATCGTTGAAGACGTGGTCTTGAACCGAAACCCCGAGGCCACTGAGAAGCTGCTCGACCGGTCGGTCGTCGAGCGCGAGAAGGCCGAGGCCGCCAAGAAGGGCGGGACTGGCGCCGTCGTCTCGCAGCAAGAGTGGCGCACCAAGCCCGTGAACGAGCGCCTCACGCACGCGCTTGTCAAAGGCATCTCCGACTACATCGACTCGGACGTCGAAGAGATGCGACTGCTGTGCGCGCGGCCCTTGCACGTGATCGAAGGCCCGCTCATGGACGGCATGAACGTCGTCGGCGACCTCTTTGGCGCCGGCAAGATGTTTCTGCCCCAAGTCATCAAGAGCGCGCGCGTCATGAAGAAGGCGGTCGCGTACCTGCTCCCGTACATGGAGGCTGAGAAGGCGGCCAAGCAAGCAGAAGACAAAGCCAACGGCATCATCAGCGAAGCCGACGACGAAGACTCGATGTACGCGGGCAAGGTGCTCATGGCGACCGTCAAAGGCGACGTGCATGACATTGGCAAGAACATTGTCGGCGTCGTCCTCGGCTGCAACAACTACAAGATCATTGACGCCGGCGTCATGGTGCCCTGCGAAGAGATTCTGCGCCTCGCCAAAGAGCACAAGGTCGACATCATTGGCCTCTCGGGGCTCATCACGCCGTCGCTCGATGAAATGGTGTTTGTCGCCAAGGAGATGGCCAAAGCCGGCATGACGCAGCCACTCATGATTGGCGGTGCAACGACCTCCAAGATGCACGCGGCCGTCAAGATTGCGCCGCAGTACGCGACGATCGACCACCCGGTCATCCACGTGCTCGATGCGTCCCGGTCGGTCGTCGTCGTCGGCAACCTCCTGAAAGAAGACGAGAAGGCTGAGTTTGTCGAAGAGATCCTCGAAGAGTACGAAGAGATGCGCGAAGACTACTACGCCTCCTTGGATGACGTCAAGATGGTGCCGTACGACCGCATTCGCGAGCGGGGCCTGCACATTGACTTTGCGACTGCGCCGCCGCACGGGCACAGCCACTTCCTCGGCAATCACGTCGTCGACAACGTCGACCTCCACGATTTGCTGCCGTTCATCGACTGGAACCCGTTCTTCCAGACGTGGGAGCTCCGCGGCCGGTACCCGAACCGCGGGTACCCCAAGATCTTTGACGACGAGAACGTCGGCGCCGAAGCCAAGAAGCTCTTTGACGATGCGCAAAAGATGCTCCAAGAAATCCTCAAGGCCAAGTCGCTCGCGGTGCGCGGCGTGATTGGTATCTACAAGGCGCACCGCGTCGGCGAAGACGTGGTCATCTACGACCCCAAGCAGCCAAATAAGGTCCTCGACACGTTCCACATGCTCCGCCAGCAGGCCGAGAAGGAGACGGACGAGCCGTACTTGTCGCTGGCCGACTTTGTGTCGCCGGCCGAGCTCGGGTTGGAGGACCATGTCGGTATGTTTGCGGTCGGCTGCTTTGGCGTCGAGGAGCTCGGCCTCAAATACGAGGCCAAGCACGACGACTACTCCAAGATCATGGCCCAAGCGATCGGCGACCGCCTCGTCGAAGCGTTTGCCGAGTACATTCACCGCGACATGCGCGTCCGGCTCTGGGGCTACGCGCAGCACGAGGAGCTCGCGCAAGAAGATCTGCTCAAGGTCAAGTACGACGGGATTCGGCCGGCCCCTGGGTACCCGAGCCAGCCCGACCACACGGAGAAGCGCACGATGTGGAACCTCCTCAACGCCGAGGCGCTCGGTCTCCATCTCTCGGAGAACTTTGTGATGATGCCAGCGTCGTCGGTGAGCGCGCTCTGCTTTGCCCACCCGGCGTCGCAGTACTTTGCCGTCGGCAAAATCGCCAAGGACCAAGTCGAAGCGTACGCGGCCCGGAAGAAGCAGTCGGTCGAGCTGACGGAAAAATGGCTCTCGCCGATCCTCGCGTACGACCGCGACTAAGACGACATGAAGCATTGCGCGTGTGGCGACGGACCCTGCCAGGCAACACGAACACGCCTGCCACGGTCGCATGTGCTTGAGTGCACGTGTGGCTACATCCCATGCAACCATGTCATGTAGTGGCCCACACGAGCAGTGCTGCGTAGTCGATCATCAACTAATCTAATGACTCAATATCTTTCTTGTTCATTTGCGGATCTCGGATATGAAAAGGGCGGGACGACGGCGGTGGGACGCACAAGCCTCCAAGGCTTCGGTCGTTTTGTCGCCCTTGCGTTTCGTGTCGACTTAGTCTACGACAACTAACTACAATGCACTTGGAAGACGCGCAGTGGTGCTTTGGTCGGCGGCGGATGCATTCCTTAGCTGCCAAGACGCGTCGATGGAATACAGTGCATGCATAGGGTAGCTCTATTGATGCAAGGGCTGTACAAGAACGGAGGTTTACAAGTGGTGGCTTTTCTATGGGGTCGGGACAGGGCGCCGGACGACGACGACGAGTATGAGAAGACGGAGGAAGGGGCTCAGCACGACATGCTTAGACCGTCGGCGGGGCTCAGCTTGGCCTTCTTGGGGCGCGAGAAGAAGGCCGAGGCAGGCGGCGATGCGAACGCATGGAACTTGGAGTCGAGGATCACGGGGTTGCCAGCACGCGTCGGCGGGCTCGTGAGCTCGACGTCCGGCCGCTGCACGATCGAGCGAAAGTGCCACTTGGCGCGGTCGCCGAGTAGCGCCTCAAACTCGTCTGGGTGGGCGCAAAGCTCTTCTTTTTCGCACCTGTGCCATGCACGATGATGAGTGGCCATCGTCGTCGCATGCACCATGCATGTACTACCGGTCGAGGGACGAGTCGCGGAAGATGAGCTCGGGTGAGGTCACGCGCCGGGGCCGGGGCGCGCAGAGCGGCTTGGCGTGGCGGCTCGCGTCCACGTCCAGGCCCGGATCCGCCTTGTCCGCAGCCCGCCACCGGCCGGCCTCGGGCGGGGAGTTTGCTCGCAGCATGTGCAAAACCAAAACTGACTGCGAATTTGTATGGAATTCCATTGCGCGTGATGACGACGGCGCGTATCCGGAGGGCTGTTGCAACGCCCAAGATAGGATAGTCGCACGCAACTGAACCTGCCACACACAGCAGCAGCCGATGCAGGCTCTTCTCGCCGGCCATCGACACTGCGGCGCATGCCGTTTATCGATGCAATTCTACCAAGGCACTACGGTACGCTTCGTAGCAAAGACGGACACTGGTCCGGCGGCAGGCACCCACCATGTCCTTGCTTGTTCTGCTACCGGCACGGAAATAGACTACAAGTTGGGTGTTATTAGATTGCTGCGCTGTCGCAGGTATTTTGGTGAGGAAGCCCTTGGTATCCGGATGGCATACAGCCACCGCACGCTGCCACGCAATCATCTCGTCTTCGGCGGTGTCCATCGAAGAAGCTCATACTTGGATGTCGTCTTCAGCTACCCTCTAGCAATGTGGTCCTTACTTGGGTTGCTTGGACGACGAGATGTAGCGTTGACGGTGCTGGCGAGCGAGTTCGAGTCCTCTCGCCTTCTGTGGTTGTGGCAAAATGCACTGGGACCGAATTGGTTTCTTATACAGAGCGGGGCTCAATTACATGTACAAGCCAGCGGCAAAGCCAGCAGCAAAGCCGCTCGACGACGGAAAGTTGTACTGCGCAAACTCGAGGAAGCGCTTCCACCAAATCTTGAAGTCCTTCTGCGTGATCTTGCCATCCCCATCAGGGTCGACGGCCGCGATCGCGTCCTTCTCGACCTTGCCCCAGTTGATGTTGATGTAGCCCTTGTGCGCCGCGACCTGTCGACGCGGTGAGCATCCATACATCGCATATTGATTTCTTTTGTACCTGGGCCATGACAAAGATGATACCAATGCTGACCGCCGCAGCCTTGCCGACTTGCTTGACGGCCATGCCCGAGCAAAAGCCGACGAAACCACCAAACGAGACCTCGCCAATCTTGGCGCCAAACTGGTCAATGAGGCGGCTCACAGGGTCGTCGTCCTTGCTCACGCTGCCCTTGGCATCACCCTCCTACTCGCGTCATGAGCCTTCCATTGCATGGGCACTTCGCTTACCTTGCCGTCGGCGGCTTGGCACAGCACAGCTGATATAATAGCATCATGAGCGGGAGCAACTAACGCCAGGCGTACCGTTGTGGGAGAGCGACATGGCCATGCCAAGCATCGCCATGCCCGAGAGGCGCACGACGGCCTTGCGGCCATCAAACTTGAGCGCGACTAAGATGCAAAGATGACATCAAGCCGCATGGTTTGAGCGTCAAGCACCGTTGGAGCGGGCCGAGCGCGTGGCGAGGGCGCGGACAAAGGACGTGCGCTTGGCAACTACAGAAGCGCGTGAGGCCATGGCCTTCGCCGCAGCGTAGCGTACGGGTGCGGGTCTGGGACCGAACGACCGAGGCAAACATGATGTGTGTTGGTCAATTCCACGAATGACGCTGTTGGGGTGGCAGATTCCGTGCCCCGGGGTCCGGCTCGAACGGCTTGTTAGCCAATCAATGCGATGGGATCTTGTGGCGAAAGTTCCGACCCGAGCCTTTTTTGTCGCAGCTGCTTGTCTTTTCAGCGCGCGCGGAGGTTGCTCGAAGAAGCGGCGACGCAAAAAGCCAGCCTTGTCCTACTTGACAGTGAATAGTGTACTACTCGTCTGTCGCATTAGCTAGTTGGACATGCACAAGGACATGCAGCTCATCACTTCCGAGCGACCCGGTTGAGCGACCCATGTCGATGCAACAGCGTTCTCGCGGCCCATTGGCGCACGGCGAATGGTCGGCAACCATCTTGGCTCGAATCGAATCGACTTCGTCCTCGCTGGTTCGAATTAGTAGGAGCGAAAGCAAGCACGGGCTTCTGGCGTGCATGACTCGGCATGTAGCGGTATCGCCCTGTGCAGAGCAGTCGAGCAGCCGAGCTGTGTCGCGGAGCTGTGGCTGTCGTCTCGCGTTCTTGAAGTTGAGCGACGTGTAGGTGTAGCTAGCGTGTCTCGGGTTGCGCCCGTTTATATCGCCCGACCAACTCGACACCACCGCCTGAGCTGAGGCACGGTCATTTCGTGAGCTTGAACCGATGGCCCGCCCAAGTGTGTTGCGTTGTTGGGTCGACTTGGCAATGACAAGCAAGACCTCGTCAGTGAACGTGGTACACTCCGATGACAAGCAACTCGGCCCTTGTGCTGCTGCTGAATCTGCGCGACGTTGCCTCACCGTCGAGTCCCTTCGAATGGCGACCGCAACACACGGCAATAGTGTTTTCGTTGGTCTCGGTGTTTCGAGCAAAGACTACATTATCTACCGGTACAGATTCCTATTCCTGCTCGTTTGCCATTGTCAATGGAAAAGACGACGATGATTGCAGTGCAACAGTCAGGATACCGGCCATTTCGGCGTCTCCTCAAGATCCATCAGGGTGCTTTGCTGTGTTGCGCCGGAAGGACGCAAGGATGTAGTATTGCGAGCCAAGCCGATCAACGAGGTAAGACCACTAGGGCAGGACGCTGATGGAAGCGCGCTACAGCCGCCAACAGCTTGCACAGGAGCCGATATAGGTCGTGTTGATGGAGACGCCAGCAAGAGTTTCGTATTTTGACCAATCCGAGGCCCGTTGTTCGCTTTTGGCCAATCAAGCACCGATGCGGACCGATTTTCGATTTTCCGTTTGCCGTACAGCACAGTCGGCGAGGTCGTCAGCAGCGACGACGGGATGCATGACGCCGTTGCCACCTACGGCTTCATCCTCGCGAGCGCACAGCGCGCATGCGCTTCGTCGCCGTCAAGTGTCTACCTCTGGAAGCTCCGGGAAATCCGCATCCGCCTGCGTGACGCGAGCTACAAGGACGACGCGTCCTTTGTCCAAGACCTCGTCATGTTGCTTCGCTCCGTCAATGATGCAGCAGTGTATTCAGTAGCCGCCAACGAAATTCAAGCAGCCATGAGGCAGATGGGCCTGCCGCCTCCGACACTACCTCCGTGGCCAACACCCGCACTGGCTGTTCTGCCGCCGACCCCACTGGACCATGCTGCGGTCTTGCGCCAGTCCGAAGAGCAGCTCAAGCGATGTGTTCGCGCGCCACCGAGTGCTCAGCGCCCATCGGCTTTGAAAGCACCGAACCAGAAGCCGGCAACACCCAAGGCGACGACGCCACGGGTGCCCAAGCCCAAAGCGCGACCGAAAGCAGCAGCAACCAGTGTACCGATCAAAGTCGAACCGACGACGCTGGTACCCGCAAGGCCGCGAAGTGCTCGGTCGGCTTCGACTAACAGCGAGCCGAGTCGCCCGTCTCGGGCAGCTGCAGTCGCAGAGAGAACGAGGAGCACCGAGACACGGTCGAGGGCGGCAAGAACCAAGGTGACACCTCGGAAAGCAAGCAGCCCAGCGCTTCCTCCGAGCAAGCCGCGATCGCGCACCAGGAAGCCCGTCGTGATTAAAATGGAAGTCACCGAAACCGAGGTCGACGACGACGACGCGCCCCGGCGAAAGGTGGGTCGCCCGCCGCTGATCCCGCTCGAGCCGCACATCGCGGATGCCCCGACGCTGGCGAGGCTCGAGATTCTTCGTTCGCTGCCAGAGCAAGGCTTGTGCCCGCACCTGGAGCGCCAAGCCATCAACCTCTACTCCAACAAGCGCGAGCGGCTTCTGGCGCCAGTCGCCATGGGGGCGCTCAAAGGTAGTACCATGCAGTTTGCCTACGAATCGACATACGAGAAGGCTCATGCCACTAGATGGACACATTGTCTGCCGAGGCGACGAGCCCAAGACCTTCAAGCAGTTCTTCAAGCAGCACGTCAAAAACTCAATGCCGGGGCAAAGTCCATGTGCTCACATTTACATTGTCTCGATGAAGAAGAGCTTGGATCTGCACCTCTTGGTACGCGCTTCGATCCCGCGCCCGCTTACGATTTGATTTGAAAGGAGTGCAACCACTACGCGGCCATGGAAGCGTCCATCAAGCCTTACAATAAGACGGCCGCTGGCACCGGTCCTGCACTGGTAGATGCTAGCCGATCCTCCGCACGGTGACTCATGTAACGTAGACCCCGAGAACCTCCCGCAAGCGCAAGCGCGAAGCCAAGGAGAAACCATCGACACCCTCGGATTCGGATCTCGTCGCTACCTAAGATCGTAGCTTCAATAGAAAAAAGTCTCGCGTCGTTGCGTGTGTTGGTGTGTGCAGCGTCGGTCTCAACCTTCTCAACCGTGTAGGCCAGTCGGTTTGCAGCGGTCGACTATGCAAGCCGTTCGAATCATCGAGCCGAACGAATAGCAACCGAGCGGTTGGTCGAAACGACCACGAAACCGACGGTTGCGAGCCGACTCTTCCCCATACATTTGGGACTGCCGTCGAGGACAGGAGCATGGCGGACGAAGCCGACGACGTCGACGCGGGCAACAAGGACGAAGGCAACAAGGAGCTCAAGGCGCGCGATGTACGCAGCCTCTTGCTTGCCTCCGCCGACGCCACATGCATGCTAGGATACGGCGGTCGCCATCATGGGCAACGTCCTCGAGAAGCTGCGGATCCTCGGGTACGACAAGGAGCTCTCCAAGAAGAAGAACTTTGTCCCGCTCACGGATACACATTTCGCCCTCGCTGCTACGAACGCCAGGTACGAGCACGAAGCTATCGATCCAAGTAGACGCCATGCGCATCGTGCTCATCATCCTGCGCCTGTAGCGGTGGGCAGTTTAAAGGCTTCCTCGAGCTGGTCGTGTTCCTAATGAAGGTCTGCGAGCAAGACTTTGTCGTCGACAAGTACGACGACCCAAACACGAGCGTCAACAAGCTCATCCTCGCGCTCAAGATCATGGGTTTTCCCCTCGACTTTCCCGCAGCCAAGCTCAAGCAAGGCTACGGCGAGGCCGTATGCTCGGCGCTCGAATTCATTTGCGACAAGGCGCTCGCGGCCAAAGGCTTTAGCTGGACCAAGCCCAAGTACCCCAAGGAAGAGTACGCGGAAGAAGCCGAAGTCGACGAGAACCTCGAGGTCGAAGCCGACGACGACGACGTGGTTGTCGAGGAAGAGGAAGAGCTGTACGTGGATGTGATCCGCGCCAAGACCGAGGACTCGGAGCTCGAAGCATCGACCAACCAAATCATCTTGGCGGCTGTATGTACCCTACGAAGCGGGACGACGCCGCATCGATGCGTAGGTGGACCCGCTGCTGTGGAAAACCGAACTCGAGCGCGTGGGGCCCAAGCTCAAGTCCAAGATCAAGGAGGACGACGGAAAGGAGTGGCACACGCACATTGAGCAAACCAAAAAACACGATGCGGTTGGCCTACGACATGGACGACGTGGATGCAAGCACCGACTGCTGTAGACGATCCAAGACAACCTCGCGTCCACGGCCGCGCAGCTCAAGGAGATCACAAAGCAGCTGACCGAAGTCATTGGCCGTATGGACGCCAAGGAAAAGTACATCAACAACCAGTTCGACCACTTGGTATCTATGGCCACCCGAGCGATTTCGATATGGATAGCACTCTGCGTAGCGGCAAGAATACCACCAAGTGAAAGAGAAGCTCCTCGCCGTGAGCGAGCGATGCAAGGAAGGCACCGAGAAGGTCAACGGCATGACCAACCAGCACACCGAGATCACCGAGCAGCTGCGAGAGACCAAGGTGATGGCAATGCGGCATGGACCTGTCGTCAACGAGCTGCGTAGACCGACATGGACAGCAAGGGAAGCAAGATGACGGATACAACGCCGCTCGTGCAAATCAAGTCGGCGCTACAGACCCTCAAGGGCGAGATCAAGAACTTTGAGCTGCGCATTGGCGTTGTCGGGTACGTTCGTGTCGTCCAGTGACTGGTAACTCATGACGGACTATAGCCACACGCTACTCCAGTCAAAATCCAAGCAAAAGATCCACGGCAAACGCCCGGGGGACTCGAAAGCCGTGGACCCCGAATACGACCACAGCGATGACGACTTGGATTGATGACATACCACCGTCATCCGTGAGTGGCAGCGGCGTCGTCCCGAGTCGATTAGAGACTACAACGCGCAGTGGTATCGGTCAACAAACTATGCGAAATATAAATGTTCAACTGCCGTCGGTACGCTGTCGCTCCCAGTGCTGACAGCGACGTATCGGCGTCGTCCTGCCGCGAGTTTCGGCGACGCAAAAATCGACCTTGGATATTCTCTCGGTCTACGTCAACACACACATCGCCGGTCTTGCTCGCTATGCTGGAACATGGCCCGTCACTCGTGCTCGATCGGTCTGCCCGTGCATACTGCCTCGGCACGTGGCTGCGTTTGTAGAGTGCTTGAGCGGGTTAGGGCAATGAAAATGGGAATAGGGTTTCCTGGCACAGGCGTCTCTACGTCGCCGATAGACGCGCCAACATAACATGAAACCGAGTTATCTAAATCCTAATCGTCTTATCTAGTACATCTTATCTAGTACGTCGACGTGCACGTAGGATTTGAACAGAATTGAATTACAAAAGGAGGTTAGTACGACGACGGCGCGCCAGCTATCCAGGGTTATGTAAGACGCGACGTTATAATGGAAAAACCGTACCGCTGGGCGATCCCTTGATCATCTTGACGCCCGAGCTCGTGCCAAGGCGCGTCGCACCGGCTTCCATCATGATCTCCGCGTCTTCGAGCGATCGAATGCCGCCGCTGGCCTTGACCTGGACGCCGTGGGGATGCGCGAGCGACGCCATGAGGCGAACGTCCACCACGGACGCACCACGCGTCGAGAAGCCCGTCGACGTCTTGATAAAGTCGGCGCCGGCCGCGATCGCGAGCTTGCTCGCCGTCTCAATCTCAGCTTCGGTCAAGAGAGCTGTCTCCAAGATGACCTTGGAGAGGACGTTGTTGCGCTTGCAGACCGAGACGACCGCGCTACATCGGAAGCATGAGTGCCAGTACGATGTAAAGAAAGGATCTTACCAAATATCACGCAAGACGTAGGCGTGGTCGCCGGCCTTGAGCTTGCCGACGGCAATGACCATGTCGATTTCTTCGGCGCCATGGCGAATGCAGTCGTCCGTCTCGAACGCCTTGGTCTCGGATGTGCTCGCGCCAAGCGGGAAGCCCACAACGCAGCACACCTTGACGCGGGGCTGCTGGCGCTTGCGGTGGCGCTCGAGGCCATCGAGCGTCTACAGAATCGTTGCATCAGCCATCGACATAGGGCGGCTTCATGCGTACCTCACGCGCGTACGAAGCATACATGCTGTTGACACACACGGAGCAAAAATTGTGCTCGTACGCTTCCTTGCAGAGCGTCGCAATCTCGTCCGGCGTCGCATCCGCCTGCATGATCATGAGCTCGCGCTAGCCACATACAAAGGTATCTACCTTGAGAAGCGTATGGTCGATGGCCCGGCGCACGGTGGCGAGCGGGTCGTGCTTGGCCTCGTCCGCCGCGTCGACCTCGTCGTCGCCGGGCGCAGGCAGCTCGCCCGTGTACTTGGGGCACGAGCGCAGATGCGAGAGAAGGCGGTTGACCGACTTGGACACGGAGGACTTGCAGTGCTTGCACTCCATGCGGCTCATCTTGAGGTTGAGAGACGGGTCGGACTCGACCTCGTCAAACTCGTCCCAGGCTGCGAGCTTCTTCTTGGGCATGGCGTCGTCGATTTCAAAATGAGCAGCCTACAAATAAGCAGAATTTTAGCCAATCGGGGACAGCGTGTTTATGCCACGGACCATGTTTAAACGTAGTAAAACCGATATGGGTGGCGGGGTGAAAGTGTGAAAATGAAGCCGATGCACAGGCAGGGCGTCGCGCTTGAAGATGGGGGCGACAAAGCCACATCACTGTGCTGCGATGGTGCTTCCCACGCCGCCAACCTGGCGTGTCGTGTCGCGGACAAAAAGACATGGCGATCTTGGCCAGCAATTTATGTGTAGATCGTCCCACGGTACGTTTAAACGCATTTTGAAGGGGTGAAGCATGGGTTAAACCACGTTCAACTGGTCGATCGCAATGCTGTCAGCGCAAAAAGACGGATCTTGAGAGAGAAGAGGCACTGCGCTCAGGATGAACGGCGTCGAGTCAGCGAAAGAAGCGCGGTGGCCGCGGGGCAAGCGACGATGCGCTGGTGTCGCGATCCACGCGTGTGCTTGGACTTCAAGTTGGCATGGGTAACTTAACCGGACGATCCGCAACCGGACGACGAAAGCGGATGAAGTTGAGCTTTCGGTGCACGTCGCACGCCAATGACCTTCGTCCCGCGAGGCTGCAGTAAAACAACAGCACGTCGTGGGCGCAAGCATCGTGATTGCTCAATTTACCGTCGCTTGGTGTAAAACACACACTTTAACGTCGTTTTTGGACACGGCCAAGTGCGTTTTAGTACCGTATCCGGATGATGTGACGGCAAAACGCGCGCCGATTGGACGCGAACATGAACGCGCAACGACCTGCTGGCAACTTCACCCGCGCCCAGCGGCGCGTACAATTGTACGATGCAGGCGCGGTGCTCACGGCAGCCAGCGCGTTCGTTGCGCTGCTCTTGTATGTCGGTCTTGAGCACTGAGCTGTAGATGAGCGGATGGAAGGGCGTCGCTTGCAGTACACTGGCTGCTGGCAGGGATGTTGAGAAGTGCCGCGATCACCGTGGGATGCTGCTTGGCCGACGCCATGTAGAACGATCCCACGCACCTCCGGCCACACGTGAGCACACGTGTCAAGATAAGCCACGAGCTCGTCCGAACCCGCTCAGCAAAACGTTCGACTGCCGCAAATATGGAGCTCCTCGAGGCGACGGGTCACGTCGTTCCAGCAAGCACGCCGAGACTCGCGCCACCGAACTTTCGCAAAGAGAGTGCCTGCCAGGAGCTGCTGCAATGCCAGTGTCCGCGTTGGCTACGTCTTTTCAACCGGGATGGGCTGGTCCAAGGGGTCAACTACAAGGCCGGCAAGATCGTCGGCAAGGCGACGCCCAACCGAAAACATCCCCGGCAAGAATACGACGAGACAACGAAAAAGGTCTTGGCGCCCGACGCGGCGAAGAATCACAGATCCTAGCGGCAAGACCAGCATGAAGCATCAGGTTGCCTGGAGGGAGCAACTGAGTACGGATAGACAGATGAATGAGTTGATGCATCGTCGGTACGCTCATTGCGCTCCCTACAAACGTAAAATCTAATAAGATCTGCCTACTAAGAACCAAGATCTGCCTACTAAGAACCAAGATCTGCCAACTAAGATCCAAGATCTGCCAACTAAGCTCAAGATGTGCCGACGTGGATTCACTTCTTCTCATGCGGCGCACGCGAAGGATCGAAAGGACACACTTTGCAGCTCCATCGTCGGCCGCTGGAGGATGACGAACGAGCCAACGCTGATCAGCGTCGGCGCCATTAACTGAGGCACGACAGCTCTTCTTTTCGCCGCCGAATCCACTGACTTGGACAGAAGTTCGTCGACGACCTTCCGGCCCTCGCATCGCTTCTCGAGAGCGAGGGCAGTAATAATGACATTTGTCGGGATGGAGATCATCGACAACATTTACATCAAGCCAGAAGACGATGCGATGGTCTTTGGCACGTACAGAAGCCTCGAGACACTAGTACGTCAGTGTTCCAAGCTCTCGATCTGACGCATTGCAGAGCCCGTACGGCGGCGGTACACCTCTCTACACGTGGCAAGACGACACGAGAGCAATCCAAATGTCAAAACCACTTTAACGTGTTGTCTTGACCTCGACTAAGTACGTTTTAGTACCGTATCCGGACGATGCAGCTGGGAAAAGCGCGGTTTGGTGGACGCCAGCATGTACGCCTGGGAGACCATCGCCCGCGCCCGGGAAGCCTTCGCCCGCGCGCGGAAGGCCGGTGCGTCACCATCCGAGGGCCTCGAGAAGGCCATGGAGCTCTTCCAGCAGCCTGGACCCATCTACGACTTTCGAGCTCTCGTTCAAGGTACGCTGTCCACGGCCTGTAGATGGATGCCATCGCCGCGTAGAGCTGCAGCGGCTCGTGGAAACGTCCGACGTCTCTACCATGGACGCGTTCCTGCACCTTGCGACGGTGGTTCCACATCAAGACTGTACAGTACGCGCGAAGGAAGTGGGTCATACCTTGGTCTGCTTGGCGCTGGCCCTCGGTGGCGGCAGGACGACCGCCACAGTGGTCTGCACGCTCGTGGGCGCCATTTTGACGAATCCGCGCACGGCCGTTGGCTTTGTGTCGGCGTTCACAAGCGAGTGGGGTAAAATCCAGGCTGTGGGTGAGACCAAGGCTGGGGAGACGAGCCACGCGCTCATTGGCAAGTACCATACGTGGGTACGAACGTGCTACCGCCCCCTTGTGCAGCCCATCATAATGAGCTCGCGTGCGTCGTCGATTTGACCACCTTCGTTGCCTCATGCGTGCGCGATAGCACTGGAGAGCGCGCAAGAATTCATCGAGACGTGGACCATCTTTGCGACGATGCAAGCCTCGTACAAAGACAAGTCCGGAGCCGCCGACAGTGCCCGTACGGCCCTCGACGTGTTCTGCGATCCTCGCACAAACGCCGAGGCCCGTAGCAGCATGGCCGGCAGCATGCACGAGCTACTTGGACTCCTGAATGCAGTCGATGCCCAGCGCGTCGCGACCATCATCGTTGAAGAGACGCTCTTGCACGGTACGACGCCCATGATTTGTTGGATGCAATGGTGGTTGATACACCTGGACACGTAGCCTCGCCACGGGCACGGACGGAACTGCTCTCGCTGCTCGAGCACCTCGTGCAAGACGGTGTTGCGACACCTCAACACTTTGTGATGGTCTGTCACCTTTTTGCGACCGCCACAGTGCCCGACGAACAGTCCATCTGGCTCGCACTCTTCCGCTTGTGGATCGAGGTCGCCACCAAGGCCACTTCTCACGACGCCGTGCTCCCCACGGCCTACCTCATCCCTCCATTGATCCAGCGCCACGCCGTCGCGTCGATAGGCTCGTTCGCGACAGCGGCGCTCCTGGACGCAGCGAACAAGTATGCGTACAATCGTCGGTGCGCGGCCGTCGACGCCGTCACGATTTCGCCCAACGAAGCGGGTGTCATGACGCTGCGCTGTCACACGTTTGCGTTCAACGACCTGCTGGCAACATTACCCGCGCCCAGCGGCGCGTACGATGCAGGCGCGGTGCTCACGGCAGCCAGCGCGCTCGTTGCGTTTGGCTGGGTGAGTTCAGACGAGCTCGTGGCCTATCTTGACACGTGTGCTCACGTGTGGCCCGAGGCGCGTGGGATCGTGACCCCGTGTTTTCTCTACATGGCGTCGGTGCGGTACGACCCCACGGTGTTCGCGACACTTCTCAACATCCCTGCCATCCACCAGTGCACGTACTGCAGCAAGACACCGTTCCATCCCCTCGCCTACTGCGCGGCCCTCAAGATTGCCATACAAGAGAAAAGGCCGCTGCGAAAGGGCGCTGTCGTGACGACCACGTTCGACTGCTCGTATTGTCGCTATTTGGAGCTCCTCGAGGCGACGGGCCACGTCGCTCCAGCAAGCACGCCGAGACTCGCGTCCCCGAAATTTCATCGAGAGCACAGCTGCAATGCGCTGTTGCAAGACATTGCCGACGGCTGCGTCCGCGTCGGCTACGTCTACCCCGCCGCGGTGGGCCCACCGAAGGGCTGGGTCAACTACTTGGCGGGCAAGTTCGTCGTGCGAAAACACCCGGGAAAACAACAGAGAAAGGCGCGAGAACGGTTCTTGGCAAGCACCTCTGAAGCCAACCTCGACACGTCGTCCGAACCACGTGCCAAGCGCCAACACATGCAGAAGGCGACGACCGACGATAACCCGTCGCCTTCGTACGTCGACCCCACGAGGATCGACTCAAGGGCAGTCGAAAAAACCGCCCGCGGAAACGGTGTCGCTCCAAGGCGTTGAAAAAGCTCGTGGCGAGCACCACTGTGAGTACCCTCGGCGCGTCGTCCGAGCCAAGTGCTGAGCGCTACAGCACACTAAGGACCATGACTGCCGCGTCCAGGTCGTAGCCAGTGTACTAGACAAACACGAGTTCATTTCATGTGTTTGGCGGCAACATATTTATTGTTCATGTCACTGTCGTATTGATGCAACGTTGGATCGATCCGTGTTGCGATCTTTGCCCGACTAAGATCTTGAAGGACCTACACTCTTGGACGCCATCATCCGGATAAAGATATCCCGCGACTTGTTCGAAGGATCCAAGCGACACACTTTGTGGCTCTGTCGGCGGCCGCTCGAGAATGACGACCGAGCCTACTCTGACGAGCGCGTCGGTGCCATTGACCGAGGTAGCTCTTCTTCTCGCGGTCGTATTATCATCCACTGACTCGAGCAGAACAACGTCGACGAGCTCACGGCCCTCGCGTCGCTGCTCGAGATGGAGATCATCGACAGCGTGTATGTCGAGCCAGAAGACGATGCGATGGCCTTTGACACGTACATAAGCCTCGAGACACTAGTACGTGAGTCGTCTCAGTTCTCGATCTGACGGGTGCTAGGCATTACAGAGCCCGCACGGCGGCGGCGGGGCCGCGCACCTCCACACGTGGCAAGACGACAGCATCGATCTTGAAGACGACGACGATCCGGCAACCGAGAGCAACAATGACGACAGGATGCGAGCCGACGCCAGCTCTAGCAGCGTCGCACTCGTCGATGGGCCGTTCCCGCCCAGCGAGCCGCAGGACCGCCGCCGGCCGTCGCTTCGCAAAGGTACCAAACGACCTACGACGAGCAGCCATCACGCCAAGCGTAGAGCTCTTTCAGCAGCGCATCAAGAGCCACGACATTGCGTCGCCAGGACCCAAGGGCGACGACCACTACGCACAGTCGATGACGCCCGAGTGCGACCTCGCATCGCCGCTCTTGCTGCCGTCGTCGCCCGTCGCCGAGACGTCGACACCACGCGCCATGGAAGACAACAACGCGATCGACGCACTGGAAGAAGCCTTGCGCAAGACGCGCGCTCGCGTACCCCGGGCGCGCAAGGTCAAGCACGGCGGTATCTACACGCTGCTGCTGCAAGGCATGAAGCGCCACGACGACCACGAAGTCGAAACCGAAGCGCCGCGAAGGACATCGGCGCCCGAGCCGTCGCTCGTTGCACTGCACACACCGCGTACGTCAACCACCGTAGCACAACGTCTCTAACCTTAAACCTCTAGAGGAGCACGTGCCAAGTCCCGATGTCGCCAAGGTACGTCCAAAGGTCGCCGTTGACAACCTTTGCTAATGCGCTCTTTGCATCTAGCGACGCTCGCCTGTACAGCCCGCGCACGTCCGGCACGGCAGCATCTACCGCATGCTGCGAGACAAATCATAGTGTTGTAGTTTTAGTAGAAACTTGGCCTCGTCGAATCGTCTTGCTACTCGTCAGCAGTCATCTGCGATCCCAGCGTCCTGTGCAGTGCCGTCTGAAAGCCGTTGGCGAGGTACGCCGGGTGGAGATGCGTCCCGTCGAGAGCGTACGCGGGCTGGAGCTAAGATACCAGGATAGAACGCTCCATATATGGTGGCTAAAGGATACCTTGCCGTCATCGCCGAGGAGGTCGTCAAAGCAGTCGAGCCACTGGCAGAACGACGCAGCTTCGACGCGAGTACGCAAGAGCGCGTTGTACCGCAGGACCAAGTGCCGCGTCTCGTCCAAGACGGGCACGATCGGGTGGATGTACGCCTAATGAGACGCGCTCATCGGCAATTAAACGCTTCGCAAACGAGACACTACGTCAAAGCCATGCGCGCGCACGAGGGCCTCGAGCACCTGCAAAAAGTGACTCATCGTTGCGACCATGCCATCGTCGACGCTCTACGCGTCATCGTCTCGTTGCGATCAGGGCAGTGTCCTACCTCGTAGCGGCACTTGTCGACCGCGAGCAGAATGCCTTCGCGGCAGTCGATTTCGCCCAAGAGAAACACGATCCGCGCGCGACGCGGCAGGCGCGCGATGACATGTTCAAAGTGCCTTTTCGGGTAAAACGTTGACGCGCGGCGCAAGTGCCCTAGACATAACGTGTCATGACATACCATTGCGAGCGGTCTACAGTGCTTGAGGCCCGTCACAAGCGCCGGCGTGAGACGCACGGAGCGGGTTCCGAGCGTCAGAGTCCGCCATGCGGTCGGCAGCGTGTGCGAGTCGCCGCAGACATAGACCGTCTCGTACTCCTTGGCTGTCTCGATGCCCGTGGCCGACGGAAAGGCCAACAGCGGAGTCGGGATGCACAGCAGTTGCGCGATGCAGCAGTAATATGCGTGCTCGTTTCGAATCGTCGTTTGGTGCAGGTGGTGGCCATAGACGACGCGAAGCGGCTCGAGAAGCTTCAGCAGCGCGTGCAATGGCGCGCCACAGCCTTCGAGAAACAAAATCTACTCATGCGGATCCTGGTACTGGTCCCGCGCACGTCGTTGTACCTTGACGACGGCGAAGAAGAGGGCGAGGAGGTCCCAGTCGTCTTCTGGCAGCAGCTGATGCGCCACGCCGGCCCGCTGGACGTTGACAAACCCGTCCGACGTCCAGTAGAGCTCGGCAGAAGGGCTGCCCCGGCCCGCGTCGAGGGTCGGAAACGCCTCCAAGATGGCGGCCACGTCACGGCAGGCGAGCCCGCCCGTCGTCAACGTTGGGTTGCTTGCACAAAACAACCGGGCGACGTCGTACGCTGCCGCGTGGTCGACGACGACTTCTAGCGCGTGGACGTAGTTGAGTGCATACGACGCATGGGCGGGCGCGAGAGCGACAGCTTGCGCAAAGCACGCCAAGCACCCTACGTCATATTCGCAAGATTCGATCATTAGAGCACGTAGGACACAGACCCGTCATGGCGCTGTAGTCCTTAGCAATAGTCGCCAAGTACGCAAAGGCGGGCGCGGTCGTCGCACTCGACGGGTCCAGCGTCGCGATGAGGTGCGTGAACCCGTCGGGCGCTTCCAAAAACGTGGCAAATTGCGCTTGCACCGCTATAGCATGGTGAGGCGGCAAGGACGAGGCATGGTGGGAGCGTACCGCGGTCCTTTGCGCGGCCCGTGAGCACCTTGAGGATCATTTGCATCGCTTCGACGGGCCGGCCGCGTTCGTGCGCGATCGCGCTGTAGAGCGCAATCGCGTCCAAATCGGTCTCGTCCGACATGACGAGCCGGCGCCGAACCGTCTCGATCGCAGCCTCGATGTCGCCAGCAGCGTGCTGAAGCCGCGCCTGGAGCCGGTCGACGCGCGCGACAAGGTCGGCATCCGAAACACGCAGCGCCGCGAGCCGCTCCAGCGCCGGGGCAAACGCCCGCAGGTGCAGCTCGCACTCAGCTACATCGAGGCAGAGTTCAATGGACGCGGTGGTGGCCGCGGCGGTCGCGAGGACGGGCTCGGCGATCGCTTTGGCTGTAGCCCATGCAGACGCTTGCATGTAGATGCGCACGAGGCCATGCGTCGCCTCGCATTGACGCGGGTCGAGCTCGCGCAAGATGGTCTCCCACACTAGAATGCTCGAATCGGATGATGGAGGAGGAGGAAGAGCGACGAACAGGCCTTGGCCGACCGGAACTCGCCGCGGTCGCGGTGCTTGGCGGCGAGCGCGAGCAGCGGCCCGACGGTCGTCAACGACGCGGCAGTGTGCTGTGGTACTGGGCGCGTGACGTCGAGCTCGCACGAGTCCTAGTGTGCCACGTCATACCCGAGACGGCATTCGACAGGATAATACGTCGACAAGGAGCTGCGACAGCTTTTTCTCGAGGCGCACGGCAGCGTCGGCGCGTGTGGCGACGAGCCCTTGCGTGTCGATGGCAGACTTAAATTTGGCGTTGTGGGCGGCCACGAGCGCCGTTAAAGCGTCGAGCACGGTGGTCGTTCGATCGAGCTGCGGCGCGCGCAGCACGTACGTCCACGCGCGCAAGTCGCTATCGCCAGGCGACGGCGTGCAGTGCAGGTAGATCTTGGCCATGATCGAATATCGATGGCGAATCTTGAAGCGGCGTGTTCTAGCGGTGTCTACCTGCCAAGTACGCATATAATGCGTCGTAGAGGCGTTGGCATATATCATATCGAGTTGTTCTATTCAGATGCAAAGCAACCTACGCTACTACGTGGACGTCGGCGGCGGCGACTGCTTCGGACTCGGTTATCAAATACATCATTTAGTTGTTCTGCTTCTTCAAGTGGGCGTAGTACGCGTCGAACTTGTTGAGCTCCGAGTTGGCGTAGCGCTTCCAGACAAGGCCGCCGGCGACGCCGAGGACGCTGGCAATGACAATCTCAATCTTGGCGCTGGGCATCTTGGCTGCTCGACTCGAATATCCGAAATGAGGAATATGCAGTCACCCGCCACTCACTTTCGCCCGATCAAGTGCGACGCACTTACGGCGATAAGTGCGCTTGGAAGATCCAATTTGGCCAATAAGATAAGACAATCTATTCCCGACACCACGGACGACGCGCGCTACAGCTATAGGTCGTGGCGTAGACGTCAACGTGTGGGCAATCGACATCTCTTTACTGATCGGCCTTCTTGAGCGACGCGTAGTACGAGTCGATCTTCTTGAGGTCGGCGGTTGCCCACTTCTTCCATGTCATCGCGCCGGCCAAGGCGAGGGTCGCGGCAACAGCAATTTCAAACTTGGCGCTCGGCATTGTGAGTGTCTACGGAGTGCGGCGGCAACGTGTGTGGGTCCACAGTGGAGTTGGAAAGTAATGAGCCACGCAGCAGGAGGCCACGACGCCTGACGCTCGGCAACGCTTCGCGCAGGGACGAATCGCACTTGATCGGGTCAATTTGGGGTCCTAGAGATTTGCAAAGTCCGTGTGGTTACATCTTCATGTCTTGAACAAAGTATGGCTTCGTAATCGCACTTACACGAGACCTCAGGCCGTAGATAGAAAAACCAAGTGGTTTCGTTGAAGTTCGCTTCAAGGGGGCGGGTATAAAAAAACGCACGCACCCAGCACAGAAATACGTCGGACCAATCACAGCGCGCTGCAAAAACAGGCCGGACGACGCCGTCTCTTTGACGCGACGCCGTTCTTGACGACGTCGGCACTCTTCCTTCAGGACTAAGATCTATCCGTCTTATCCTGCGACGTAGTCTATGCGTTCGTCTGCGGAGGCGGCACGGACACCGGAGACAATAGCCCCTCTGCGGTGCACCCGCCACTTGTAGGCAGGATGGTCGGCCAGGGCGTGTTTCATTCGAAACACATCAGCAGCACACTTGACGAACCAGTCGCCGCGGGTGGGTTGTAGCAGGTAGTACACTTGCTTTGAGCGAGGTGGCTGGAATCTGAGTGTATGAAACACAATCATACCGCGACGTGTCTATGGGAAGAAGCGCAGCCGTCGCTCGCCGAGCCGACCTCGGCATCTACATGACTACGAGCTATGACTACGGTCCATGACCGCGCCGGATGCTCGTATGCAACATGCATGGCAAGGTGGTCGAAATGCAATCTCCCACCTTTGCAAGTGCAAACGCATTAAGTGCAATCTCAGCATGGACGGACGGCGCCAAGCGTCTAAGTCTGTGGTCCAACTAGTGCAGTCGTTGCCATCAGACAGAAGGCGACCGTAATTAGGCCGTCGGTTGCATAACCGTTAAACTCGCACTAGAAAGGACGTGAGCATCGACGATGCTGCCGCGGGTGCCTCTCGACAAGCCGTCGCGAGAAGGCAGCACCAAGATCCTCGTCGGTGGGAAAGACCGCGCATCCAACCTGCCGCGCCTCGAGGGCCAGAAGGTGCCCGTGAGCGACCGCGCCATGAACAAGCTCGGCATCAGCGACGAGATCGTCAAGATGGAGAAGCTCATGAAGAAACTCGGCATTTGCGACCACGACCTCGAAGAGTTCAAGCAGCGTACGCCTTCTTTCTCTTTGCGACTACGTTCTTAGTCGCCACTAGTGCAACGTCACTCGGGCAACATTGTCGAGACGGGGACGCTGGCAAAAGAAGAGATCCTCATGGGCTTCTCGGTCAAGCAAATGCACCGCGTGAAAGCGCTCAAGCGGCTCGGCGCGTCCGAACAAGAGGTTTGGGACGCGTATGCCCACAAGATTTCGCAGCTCGGCGCCCAACTGCACATGAAGCCCTCCGCGCGCAAAGCGAGCTCTCGGACGTAGCGTAGGTGTACTCGTCGTGGATGCAGTTTATATATACGAGTTTGCAAGCGCGTCGACTACTTTGTCTGCGCCACCATCCACGCGTCGATGCGCGCCTTGAGCACTGTCGCGGGCGTGAGCTGGTCGACGGTCAACGGCTGCCGCGTGAACGGGTCGGTCGCGTCGTTCATGAGGTGCTGGACGATCGTGGCGCGGTCGACCACGTACCCGCTCGGCAGCGTCACGGGGTCGCGCATGCGCTGGCAGAGAAGCGGGTCCATAAACTCGTCCGGGGCGTCGCCGTACGCCGCATCGTCGAGCGCGTTGCTCGCATGCAGCGCTTCGACCGTGTCGCAGAGGTTCTCAAAGGTCGCGACGCCCGGCGGCGGAATGAGCTGCGTGCGCTGGAGAATGTGCACGCACTTGCGGTACACGGCCGGGTCGTACAAGCCGTTGGAGGCAACCGCCATCTGGAAGCTCTCGTATTGCGCAAAATGCAAGATCGTCTCGACGACTTCGCGGAGCATGACCTTGGGCCGGAACTTGTACGTCTCGGGGTTCGCCACCTAATGGCGACATTACGAAACATGGAGACACTAGGCGGATCGAACCTTGAGCTCGAGGCCGCGGGGCCCCGCGAGCTTGACGAGCACGCTGTTGAGCATGCTCACGAGGCGTTCTTCCAGTGCGACGCTGAGGAACGGCGCTTGGATCTCGGACGTGAGGTATGACATCATGTGGATCGTCTCGTTCGCGAGCTGCAAACTCGACGTGACCGTGCGCTCCTTCTCGGCCAAAAGACTCTGCTTTTGCTCTTGCGTCGCTTGGTCATAAGTGCCCCAAAGCGGCGACTGGGCTTCCTCCTATCGCATCGAGATGAGGCGTCGCCGACTCGGATCCTCATCGTTTGTACCTGCAGCGCCTTGATCTCCGGTAAATTGGTCAGCGCATCAGTGAGGAGCGAGTTGATGTGGTTCATAAGACCGTGCGCAAACTTGACGAACGCCGGTTCGTTCGTGGAGATCGAGACGAACGCAGGCTTGTGGGCCGGGCACTTCCAGAGGTACTTGAGCAAGCAAGCAATGTTGTAGCGGTGCTCGAGCTTTTCGTAAAAGCCCGTCTGCTCGACATCGCCGTAGAGCGCGAGGAGGCACGGCGCGAGGTGCTCCTGCGCGAGCGGGCTCTGCGTGAGCGCGTTCACTGCGGACGGCACGCCGACCGTCGGCCGGTCCTCCGACTCGTGCGACGGCAGGCAGATCTCAAAGAGGCACTCGCTCATCTTGGCGCGCAAGTGCGGGCTCCGGACCAGCTGCGGCGACGAGAGGAAGACGAGCGTCATCTTCAAGAGGTCGTCAAAGGCGAAGGCCGCGAGCTCCGTCGGCGCCATGCGTGCCACGAAGAGGAGAGCGTTGACAATGTCCTCGACAATGTGCTCGGGCATAAATGGCACAAGCAAATCTATCGTCCATAAAAGTGAGGGGTGTAGGAGGTTCGAAGCGCGTACCTTGCTCGCGCGTCGTAATGGGCAGCACGAGCGGGCTCGACGACGCCTTCCCCGACGGCTCCAGACAGATGCGGCAGACCACGTCCGCGGACAAGAGGGCAAAACGCACGATCTCGTGAAGGACCTCGGGCTGGAGCAGCTTGGCGTCCAATAGCATCTTGGTCGACGCGAGTGCGTCAAACTGCGCTTGGACGCGAGGGTCGTTGTTGCTGCGCATGGCGTTTTGGACGTACGAGAGCTGGCGCAAGAGGCGCATGTACTTGGCCATGGTCGCGACTGGTCCAAGGTGGACGCTCTCCAGCGTGAGGTAAAAGCACTGCGTGATAAAGTTAAAGTCGCCGAGCGTCTTGGTCGTCGACGCAGCGCTCTCGGTCACCACGAGCTTGGTGCTGTCGGCCGGAAAGATGGGGTTGGGCACGGCCGCCAGGAACGTCGGGTCAATGAGCGAGTGTTTGGTTGACGATGGCGGCAAGAACGGACCGCAGAGCCGCAGCAGCACGACGCTGAGGTTCATGAGGAGGCCGGCGGTCGATGTGAGCGCAGCGTTCGGGTTTTCTTTGGCCATCTCCTGGTTGACTTCGAGCGCCTGCGCCAGCCTAGACACAGCCTCAGATCTTATGCCAGTCAAGATTTGGAATACCAAGCGAGGACGCGGTCCTTGCACACCGGGCCAGCCTTGAGCAGCGACTTGAAGATGTCGGTGCATAAGTCGTGGTTAAACTTGAGTTCGTTCCGAAGTTGCCGCAGCGACTTGTCGACGTCGTTGCGCGTCCTATGCGGCATGTTGGAGCCAAACGCATTGCTTCTTCAACTATACCGTTTGGTGATGTTGGAAAACATGTCTTTGAGCGCAGGATCCGGCGAGTCGGTCGAGAGGCGTAGCAGAATGCCGAGCGCGGTGGCGTCTTGGAGGCGGCGCCCGTTGAGCGGTGGTGAGAGGAGAAACCCTGGCATCGTGACAAAGACCGTCGCAAAGCCCTTGACACGCACGAGGGACCCGATCGCTTGCATGGGCGGCGCCCACACCTCGACCGCGAGGAGCGACTGCGCACCAAGAAAGATCTCGGAGACGAGCTTCTGGAAGATGGGGCCCACGACGCGGCCAAGGCCCGCGGACCCACCCTGGGCCTCGAGCCCCTGGGCGAGGAGCTCGAGGTACGAGGGCGTGCTTGGCGTCGGGTTGCGCACGAGCGCGTCAAACACTTCGAGCGGCGTCATGGCGTGCGACGGAAACATCTCGGGCTCCAAGAGGCACGTCACGCTGTAGTTGATCGCCATCTCCATGAGCGACTTGACCTATTGGTTAATATGGCATAAGCCACAGGCGATCGAGTGGTGCATCGTACGACGACAAGATCGGCCTCGGAGAGCTGCGAACTCTCGGTCCGGCAGCGCTGGTACACGTCAAAGAGGTACCGCAGCGTCGGTGTCGCGAGCGCCGCGTCTTCTTCCGACACGAGCCGCATGTACAAGACTTCGCTGACGTTGTCGCCGTTGAGAGCGTTTCCCGCGACGTCCATGTACAAGACATCGTGCGAACCTGGCGGATGCAACGTCACCTGCAGGATGCGAGACAGCATCTCGTGGAGCCCGTCACGCCGGCTCGCCTTCTTCTTCAGCACCGGCGCGGGGGCTTGAACAGGTGGCGCAGGCGGTGCGATAACCGGCTTGGGCGGCGACGCTTTCACGACCGGCGGCGCGGGGGCCGGCGCAGCTTGCTCCAAGGGCGCCAGGCGCTCGAGGCGCTTCTGCCGGAGCTCTTCCGCCGTCGGGACATGCACGTCTTCGCTAGTCGTGCTCATGTCATGGTTCTCGTCTTCCTTCTGGTCGCCATTGACCCAGGAGCTAATCCAGCTCGCCATGCTTCCGTCGCTGTCTTCTGACCGAGGAAATCTTACGTCAAACCGGTTTCGCTGACCGGTTCATATGGCGTGAACCGACACGGCTAAAAACACGCTTCCTATCCGGATACTTTAGCCGAGACACTCCGTCGTCGAATTGGCACGGTGGTCCCATCGCGCTCCGCTATCGCGCTCGTGCATGTCGTGTACTTTGCCGCATACATAGTACTATGCGCGCAGGGCCTAGGGACCAGCGTACCTAAGTTCCATACAACCGCACAGTACTCATATCGTGGCGGGCAGTTGCGGCTTTGTCCGGATAAGGGAGGAACTCACTCGAATGATGATGCGCGAGGCCAACTCTATCAGAACAACGAGCGCCGCATCGGTATCCAAGGATGTTCCTACCGCGCGGCCGCCAGTCAGTTGAGCGGCGTCGCACACGAGGCAGAAAACCCACATGAAGGCTCGAGACTGCCCATCGTTGCAGCCGGCCATGTCCAATCCGACCGTTCCGACTGCATGGCACACAAAGGGCGCCAAATTTGTCCTGTGCTTGGGTCTGTGGTAATGAATAAAAAGGTATATTGGCTCTTTTTCCAGCGACGAGCGTGTAGCGTTGGGAAGAGCCTGTCACGTCCAAATGATTTCTGCTGGATTCATTCAGTGTCATGTGACGGTGAGGCTCATAGGTCCAGCATTTTTGGCCGCTCATACCTTTCATGCGGAGCACAGACCGCCACAGAAACCACGACGTGTGTTCGATCGTGCGGCCACATCGTCGTAAGCACCCCATAGACAAGTGGACGCCGATCAACCCGCGCGACCAGGCTACATATCACCATGGACACTGATAGATGCAATTGGCCACACGAGCGCCGCGGTGCAACGGTGTGGGCAATCGTCGTTTGAGGGAGTCTCTCTCGCACCGCGCGGTGGTCCCTCCACTCATTCGATGGCTAGAAAGTACACTGTAAAATACAGTGTACGGAGCTGCACGTCTACGGCATGAACTTCAGGTAGCTTTTTCTACAGTGTACCTCGTAGGGGATGATAGAGCTCGTTTGACGAATCCCGTGCCAATGAAGTACATGGGTCACCCACCCCAGCCGGTCCCTTCGACGCGGCCTGAAAATAATATATATCACCTGAGCGAATGACCTTGGTATTTGTATGAAGACTACGATTTCGACGCGGAAATTATAAAAACCGGCGCGCTTTGGGCGCCCAGCTGCGAGCGCCATGCTGCACATTTCATTGCGACGCGGAGCCCAGAGGAAGATAGTAGTGAGATGGGTGTCCCGACCTTGAGCAAGGCGTCCGTCTTCCGCTTCGCGCGGCAGCCTCGCCACCACGGCGTCAAGACGCGCCTGCTCCGGAGTCGCTCCAAGACGCTCATGCTCGGCGGCCAGAGCACGGCCGAGACGGCGCAGTACGCGTCGTGCAACCCGAATGGCGACGAGCCATCATCCAATGCTCTTAAGCCGCTCAAGCTCAAGGACATGTCGACCGACGATCTTCTGCGGCACGCCGAGCAGCTCGATATGCACCTCGCCAAAATCTACATCGAGAGCCAGAAGACCAAGGCGCTCGCACCGATCGTGACCAAGTCGATTGGCCTTCCGCAGCAGCTCTGGGAAGACGCCGGCGTCGCGCCGCCGTACCATAGCGCGCCCGAGTTTCAGGACCTTCGGTACACGGCCGTGCGCACAGCCGACCCGATCGCGTTCTCGGCCGATGGCTACAGCCTCCGGTTGCACACGCTCGGAAAGAGCATCAAGGTGTTTATCACGGTCACCATGTACAACGAGCCCGCGTCGCAGCTCCAAGCGACGCTCACGGGCCTCGCAAGTGGCATCGACTATCTCTGCAACCAGTACGGGTATGACTTTTGGCAAGAAGTCGCTGTCGTCGTAGTCGCCGACGGCCGGTCCAAGACCCACCACAGCGTCCTCCCGTACCTCGAAAGCTTTGGGGCGTTCGAGAAGGGGCTGCTCGCGTCCGCGATTGCGGCGTCCAAGGACACGCACGTGCACCTCTTTGAGTCGACGATCCAGCTGCGCAAAACCGACGGCGCGTTCCACTCGCCCATGCAGCTCATCTTTGCGCTCAAAGAGCACAACGCCGGGAAGCTGCACTCGCACCTCTGGTTCTTCAACGCGTTCTCCGAGCAAGTCGACCCGACGTACACCGCGCTCGTCGACGTCGGCACCGTACCCGCCGAGTCGTCCGTGTACCGCCTCATCCGCAGCATGGAGCGCAACCCGCAGATCGGCGGTGTCGCCGGCGAGATCGCGGTCGATGATCCCGACTTCTTCAACCCCGTGATTGCGGCGCAGCATTTCGAGTACAAGATCGCCAACATCATGGACGCGTCATTGCAGTCGGTCTTTGGCTTCATCGGCGTCCTCCCTGGTGCCTTCTCGGCCTACCGCTACGAAGCCATTCGATCGATCAACGGCGTCGGCCCGCTCGCAGAGTACTTTAAGAGCCTCACCGCATCCAAGAAGGAGCTCGGGTACGTCGTTTGCCTTACTCTCGTGGCGTGTCTCATATATATCTTGTAGGCTCTGCGTCGGTAACATGTACTTGGCCGAGGACCGCATCCTGTGCTTTGAAATCCTCGCGCGCAAAAACTGCGACTGGACGATGCACTACGTCAAGGACGCGATCGCGCATACCGACGTGCCCGAGACGCTCGTGGATTTGATCAAGCAGCGCCGGCGCTGGCTCAACGGGTCCTTCTTCGCCGGCCTCTTTGCGATCTGGAACTTTGGCCGCGTCTGGACCGAGAGCGCGCACAGCTTGCCGCGCAAGTGTGCCTTTAGCCTCCAGTTCCTCTACCTCGCGTTCCAGAACGTCATGAACTGGTTCCTCCTCAGCAACCTGTTTTTGACATTTTTCTACATCCTCTCGCTCGCGCTCTACTACAAGTCGATCGAGGTCCTCCACGTCGTGCTCGGCACGTACTTTGTGCTCGTCGGGAGTCTCATCGTCTTTGCCCTCGGTACATCATCCGTCCGAGTCGCTGGCGCCACATCCTCATGCAACTACCTAGGCAACAAGCCCGGGCACCGCACGGCGATCTACTACCGCGTGAGCTCGTACGTCATGGGCACGATCATGCTCTGCGTCACGTGCATCTCGCTCTACGCGCTCCTCGGGAACGTCCAGTTTGTGGACCCGCGCTCCGACTTGCCGTCGTGCAGCGTCAGCAACTACGAGCTCGAAGCCGGCGCGTTCTTCTCGCTCGGCATCATCTTTGTGTGCGCGTTCATGCATGGCGAGTTTGGCATCGTGCGCAGCACTGTCCAGTACTTCTTCATGCTGCCGACCTTTGTCGTACGTTCTTATTGGCCGGTCGAGTATGACGTGGCAGCGTCTCATGCGATCTTGTAGAATGTGCTCGGTATTTATGCGTACAGCAACCTCCACGACTTGAGCTGGGGCACAAAGGGCATCGAGACGAGCGGCGGCCACGGTGGTCTGCCCACGAGCAGGTTTGGCAGCGTCAAGGACATGGTGGCCCTCCACTTGAACGCGGCCACTACCGACGTCGTCTCAGAAGCCGACAAGCTAAAGGGCGTCGTCGCGGCCGAGCACGAAGACGTCGACAACCGGTTCCGTGTCTTTCGGTCGCTCTTACTGCTTACGTGGCTGCTCACGAACGGGTGCTGGCTCTACTACGCGACGAGCTTCATCTCGTGCTCGTGCTACCTCAAGTACCTCAGCTATATCGTCGCGGTCTTCAACACGATCCGGTTCGTCGGCGGCCTCCTCTTCCTCGCGTTCCGCATGGCGCGCGGTGTGCTCCATTGCTGCCGCCAAGGCGTCATGAAGACGCGCCCGCTCCGCTGCGGCGGCAACCCGCAAGCGGGCGACGATTGCTCGCCCGTCTAATTTACTACTGCTAGTGTGTTGTTTGTGTAACTTAAAAATGAAGTACGATGCTTCTTTATCAGGCGAGCGCACGCCTACATGAACTCGGACGAGAGGTCGTTGAAGTACGGATGGCGCATCGCGTCGCGGGCCGAGATGCGTTGCGACGGCGTGTACGTGAGCATGCGCTATGGATGGTGAGAAAGCGAGAAGGACGGGAAGAGCAAACCTGGAGGAGGTCGAGGCCGTCCGTGTCGAGCTTGGAAAACATGGGCGCGAGGTCTTGGGCGCGCCACTTGGGGAACGTCGGCGCGTAGTCGCGCAAGGACGAGACGCCGGTCCACGTCGACTCGTCGGGTGTTCCCATCACCTGGAAGATACGGTAGAGCTGGTCGATCTCTGAGTCGCCTGTGAAGAGTGGCTTCTTGCGAAGAAGCTCTGCAAAGATGGCGCCGCACGACCAGATATCGACGGGCGGCGAGTACGCTTCTTGCCCGAGGAGGATCTCGGGCGCGCGGTACCAGAGTGTAATGACTTCGTGCGTGTACTTGCGCACGGGCAGCGAGAAGGCGCGTGCGAGGCCAAAGTCGGCGATCTTGAGCGCGCCTGTTCGGCTCACGAGCAAGTTTTGCGGCTTCAAGTCCCTAGCGTCGGTCGTTGTCAGATAGGCGGCTCCATTCGCCAGACGACGCACCGGTGCATAATGCCCCGCGAGTGGCAAAAGGCGAGGCCCTTCAGGAGTTGGTACATGTACGCCTACGTCATCGTCGTCATGGCAAGCGTATGCATCAAATCGCAGTACCTTGATCAAGTGTGGGTCAATGCTGCCCAAGGTTGTGTCCATGCAGCGCTTGAGGTCGCGGTCGACAAACTCAAAGACGAGGTAGAGCTTGCCAGCGTCCTGGAGACAGTTGAGGAGCCTATAGCGATTGCATAAGCTTCCTGCATATGCATCGATAGCGCCCGACTTGACGATGTTGGGGTGCTCGAGCTCGCGCAGGATCGAGATCTCACGGAGCGCGGTCGACGGGATCCCTTCGTCCTCGACCTCGAGCCGGATGCGCTTGAGGGCGACGATCTCCTGCGTCTTGAGGTCCTGCGCCTTGTACACGACGCCGTACGTTCCCTCGCCGATCGCCCCGTTCTTCTCGATCTTCCTGTACCGGTCCATGGCGTCCCCTTTGGCGAAATCCAAATATACCGCGAATTGCGACCACTGCGACTTTGTATTGCCATGTTGAAAACCCCACGAAGCCTTTGGATTGGCTGTATACGTTTGGTTTTTTTACCAATCCCAGCCGCTCTTGTAGCCGGCCTCTGCCTCGCCAAGGGTCGGCCTCGCCGGGGCATCACGACGAAGCGGATAAGCTTCGAGGACCTTGCGACATGAGATCGAAAGACTTCGTAGTCTCTAGCTCGAGGGACTTGGACGAGCCCCGCGCCGTCCATTGACAATGTTTGGGCGGCCTAATTTTTTTTTGCGCGCCAAAATGAACGAATGCGCAGCTGATGGACAACCGATCCACATCGGCAAAGCTAGTCGTTGCAATCGGTGGTGCGACGATAGTACCTACACTATTAGAGTACCTCGTTGTAATAGGCTTTGAAGAGTCGGATTAACTAAAGTGTGGAATGTGTGGAGCCGCAGATTGCCTGCTTCAAGCTCAAGCTGGTGTGGCCTAGAAGCTAGGCTTGAGCTTGCCGAGGAGCAACGCATCGGACACTACTGCAGGGAATGGCTCGTGGGGATAGAAGTACTGTTATGAGGAGCGTATATCGCCTTTATTGGCTCCTCAGTAGACTCGCCCTCACGCGTGTGAATCAAAGTGCTGCTGGGTTTGTCCCAATGATGTTTGTGGGAAATTTGAGTTTTGCCCGATTGAGACAAACTAACTATCTTAGTCGAAATGGTTTAGTCGGTCGACCGCATCCGGATGCATGTATATCCGGATATCCCAATCTTGCGGCCGCACAGAAGATTCTGAGGTGGCGAAGATGGAAGACGTTGACATGAACACGGTGACGGGGGAGGCCCTGAAGAAGCACCAGCTGCAGGAAGACTTTGACGCTGCGGAAGAAGAGATGGAAGAGGGCCGTGCGACGCCCGACCGCTCGATCGCCGCCTTCCAGCGCGTCCTGGCTTACCGTAGGCGCAGCGACGCCGACCATGGTCTCACCATCGCAACGTAGATGGGCCCGACGAAGACCTCGAAGCCGTGCACCGCGTCAAGGAACACGCCATCTACAAGCTTGGCCAGCTCTACACGCGCCATGGGTAGGCTTTTGCCTCATGGAACACGCGACTGACGCACCTTGTCGCAGGCGCGAGAAGGAGCTCGCGACGCTCTTGCAGAGCGTGCGACCGTTCTTCACCACGATCCCCAAGGCCAAGACGGGCAAGATCGGTATGATTTGCGCATGGTGTGCAATGGCCCACACTCACGATCGCGCCTCCTACTAGTGCGCACGATCATCGACATGGTCTCCAAGGTCGAGACTTTGGACCACCAAAAGTCGCTGCAGTTCCAAGCCGACCTCTGCGTCGACTCGATCGCGTGGTGCAACTTGGAGAAGCACACGTTTTTGCGCCAGCGCATTCAGGCCCGCTTGGCCTCCATGTACGCATGTCGTTCTCGTCGATCGATGGCCTTCACGGCGATACATGTAGCCTCTTTGAGCAAGCCAAGTACCAAACGGCGCTCGACTTGATCACGGACCTCCTCCGCGAAATCAAAAAGCTCGACGACAAGCAGCTTCTGGTCGAGATTCACTTGGTCGAATCCAAGCTCTTCCACGCGCTTCGCAACGTGCCCAAGGCCAAGGCGGCGCTCACGGCCGCGCGCTCGATCGCCAACTCGATCTACATTGTGCCCAAGATGCAGGCCAACATTGACCACATGTCGGGCATCCTCCACGCCGAGGAGCGCGACTACAAGACCGCGTACTCGTATTTCTTTGAAGCATTTGAAGCGCTCGCGCCCATCGACAAGACGGAGGCGCTCGCGTGCCTCAAGTACATGCTGTTGAGCAAGATCGCCAACGGCCACTCGGCCGACGTCCCTGTCATCGTCAACGGCAAGAACGCCATCAAGTTTTCCGGCATCGACGTCGAGGCGCTCAAGGCCATCGCCAAGGCGCACGACAAGCGGTCGCTCGAGCTCTTCCAGGCCGCGACGTCGCAGTATGCAGCCCGTACGTCGTCATGCTTTGGGACACGGGAATGCTGACGCTGTGTAGAGCTTGTGCAGGACCCGTTGATCAAGCACCATCTGGGCCTGCTCTACGAGAACCTCCTCGAATCCAACTTGATCAAGATCATCCAGCCGTATTCGTGCGTCGAGATTAGCCATGTGGCGACGTTGATCAAGCTTCCGTTGCCTCAAGTCGAAACCAAGTAGGACGCCAAGGGATGCGTTCGTGCGGCTCATGACGCGTAGGCTCTCGCAGATGATTTTGGACCACAAGTTCCACGGCATCTTGGACCAAGGCCGGGGGCAGCTCATCGTGTACGAAAGTGCGACCGAAGACGTACGTTGTCCTCGTACCCTGCTGTACTCTAAGTGGCGATAGAAAACGTATGCGGCGGGCCTCGGCGTCATCCAAAACGTCGGCAACGTGGTTGGCACGCTCTTCCGCCGGGCCGACAAGCTCTCGATGTAGGCAAGAAGGACACTATGAGCTGCGTTATCTAACTCGGCAACACGACGATGCGACGCCATCTGGTGCAACCTCTACAGAGCTGGCAAGGACACGGACGAGGACGCGAGCGGCGTCTCGGTCTGTCCGTGGACCCCCGCGTCTTCCGTGACAAAGTCGTCAATCGCGGCGCCCTCGTCGTGGTGCATGTCCCTACAAACAACGGCGATAACAATGAAAGTGGCAGCGAGAGGCGCGGACCGGAAGGCGTCCGACATGATGTTGATGGTCGAGTGGCGGTTCGGGATGCGGAAGCCACCGCGGTAGACGTATGGCGCGTTGGAATGCGGCGATTGAATGATGCGCCGCGCGTCGGCGTCGAGGACCGGGCTCTCGGCGCGGACACCAAAGCCCGTCGACGCGCCCGTGTCACGCCGCTTGCTGTGCGTACTCGGACTCTCGAGCGCGGTCGTGGGTCGCCCGCCCGCCGTCGACGACGGTCGCACTTGGCCTTGGAGCCGAATGGTCTCGAGAAAATGACCTACATCTTGTCTACTTCGACGCATTCAGCGATCGAATGACGCACCGTCGCCCTGGGGCTGATGGCCGTCTTCGGGGGCGACGCCACCGCCGCTGAGCGTCCGTCGGCTGATGGCGCCATCCAGCATATTGGCCAGCTACAACGACGCGTCATGTTTGGTCGATATCGCTGCGGTGGGCTACCGTCTGCATAAAGACTTCACGGCGGTCGATCGAGCCTTTATCAAACTGCTCGCCCGTGTTCTTGTTGTTGGACACTTTGGCCAGCATGCGCGTATTGAGCTTCTCGACAATGTCGAGCTGGAGCCGGACCATCTTGGCATCGAGTTCGGCTTGGCCGCGGATCTAGAGGCTCATGCAATGACACTACGCCGCTGGGAGGGGCACCTCTTTGTTGCTTGCAACTTTGAGCACTTCGTACTCGGCCTTGGCGCACACGAGGTCGGCAAAGAACTGCGCGTTCTTGACGAGGAAGTTCTGCTGCCGTTCGGAAAACTGCTTGCGATTGGTGCCGTTGTTGTCGGCGCGGCTCGAGGTTGCGGCCACCTGGTAGCATTGACATTGGTTTTGAAAATGATGATGATGATGTCGTAGTACCTTGCCTTCTTGGCGCGCGGAGATCTCAAACTTCCAGCACTCGGCGACGAACGCGTCACAGAGCGCGTCGAGCTCCTTGTTGAGCGTCGCGATCGTCATGTTGCGCGTGCTGGCCTTGGCGACCATCTCAGCAAACTTGGTTTGCTTCTCGTTGAACGCTGCATACAAGGCTTCGGTGCGCTCGCCCTCCTTGATGACTGCGTCGTTCAAGCGCGCGGCCGTCGCGCCAATCTCGGTCCGGTACTCGACTGCGTATGCATGACATTGTGAGCACAACTATAACTATATAGTACCTTGCATGGCGTTGATCTGCTCGTTAAAGTAGTCTTGCTTGCCCGCAAAGGTCTCGAACGTCGTGTGCATCGAGTCGAGAATCACTTGGGTGCTGCTCGCCTCGGTCGCGATTTGCGCAAAGGTCCTAATCATACACCATTGTTGTTAGAGTATTGCACAAGGAAAGATGACGGCGTTCGCACTGCTGGATGTCGGTCTGCGCCGCGTCGTACTCGGTGCGAAACGAAAGATTGCCTTGCTCGAGGTACGAGAGCTTCTCCTTGATGGCCGAGAGCGCAGCCTCCGTGTGCACTGTTCATTTAGGTGAATTTGGCTCGTTAAGGATCGATGGATAGATGCATGGATGGATACCTTTCATGCCCTCGGTCTCCAACTGGTGGTTCTCGACCTTGGTGCGCATCGCGGCAAAGTTCTTCTCCGTGTCCATCTTGTTGTCAACGACCGTCTTGATCAAGCTCGCGTGGGCGTCTTGGCCTTCCTTGATCTTGGCGCCGAGCCGCGTCGCGTCCTTCTTCAAATTTTCGGCGGCTTCGCGGGTCACGCGCTCAATGCCTATAAGATCGGATGGTCTCTCCTTAGTAGGACGCTCGATCGAACCTTCGTAAATCGTGGTGAAATTCGTATTGTAGATGATCTCCGTGTCGCTCACGTGCTGCGTGAGGTCGGAAATCTTCTTCTTGTTGTCCATGGCCGCGTGTTCGACGACATCGATGCGGTCGGCGTGTCGCTTGACGTCCACCGAGAGCGTCTCGACCGAGCACGCGACAAAGATGTCGTCAAGCCGCTTGATCTCTACGTCCCAGGCAGTTAGTTAATAGAGGCAGATCGATCGACAACCGTTGTGCAAGGCCTCGGCGCGCTGTTCAATGATTTCTTTGATCTGGTCCTCGGACTTTTGCTTGTTTTGAGCTGCGTCTTCAAACGCTTGGGCGAGGTCGGACGTGAACTGTTCGGCTTTGCCCTGCTTGTCCCCGAGCGCTTGGACTAGGCACCATACCGCGTTCCGTCCACGTTCCGATGCACTATATTATGGAAATGTACGCTTCTCCTTCATGACGCCTTGCTGCGTAATGATGGTTTGAATGTGCTGGTGCTCGGCCTGCGAGTTGCGCCGGAGCTCGTCGAGCATCTTTGCAAATTTGTCCTACGCGCGACCGTGCCTACGATGCTCGGACACCGCGATCGCACCTGCGTCTTGAGGATCTCTTCGATCTTGTCGCACATGATTTCGACGCGGTTTTGGGTCTTCTGGAGGGACTCGGCTTGGCTCGAGTTGATGTCTTCTTGCATGCTGCGCACCTAGATCGCCACGTCCTATCAGCCGACCTTATTCCTCCATGCGTCGACCATGTGGATTTCTTCTTGCGTCCGGCTAAAGAGGCCGCTAAACTCGTCTGAGAGCTTGTGGCTCTCTTGTTTGAGCAAGATGAGCGACTTTTGCTCAAACCCAATGAGTTCATTCTGCGTCACGCACGCGCGGAGGTCGTGCGTGAGCTTGTCCATGAGGATCTTGACGTTGCCTTCGTGCTTGGAGTTGCGCGCTTGGATGAGCGCGTCACGGCGCTTCATCTCGGCTTGGAGCCGCATCACGCTGCTCTTGGCCTCTTGCGAGTTCTCGCGCACGATCGCGCCCTCCGCCTACGCAGCGTACGACGGTGTGACGTCAGATCCTCTAGCATCTCGCACCCGCAGCTGCTCCAAGCTCACGATGATTGGCTCGAGAATCGCGTCCATCGTATCTTGCGAGTAGGCACTCGCGGCCACCGGCGGCGACGACGACGAAAGCGATGCGATGCCATGGATAGCATTGTCCGCCGTCGGCGTGGACGATGCTGGTGACGTGTCTTCCTGGATCGCGGCGACGTCGGGGGCGACGAGGGCCTCGCGGCGCGGTGGCGCTCGGTCTTGCAGTATGCTCGGCCGGCGGCGCATGCTTGCATCAAGCGCGGGCTTGGACGTCGCTGCTGCGCCCGCAAGTTCGTCGTCCTCGGCCTTGCTCGAGCGGCGTGACTTGGCGACGGTCTTGGCGGCGACATCCCGCCGCAGGATCACAATGTCCTTCTGGATCCCGTCGATGCCTTGCTTGATGTACTTGAACTGGTCCTTGAGGTTCTGGCACTCGACCATTGCCTCGGAGTTGTTGGCGATGTTTTGCATGGCGTCGCTGAGCCACGCGGGAATTTCGCCGTTGCCCATCTCGTTCTTCTCGAGGATCTCAATCTTCATGCGCAGCGTGAGGATGATGTCGAGCAGGCTCTCTTCGTTGAAGATGAGGTCCGGCGGGTACTTCCACTGCAGCGAGACCGGGTTCCCATTCATGCTGCTGGTCTTCCGGCTCTGGCTTTTCTGCGCCACTCGGCCGTTTCGCGCCTGAAACGACAAGCAAGAGGTGCGATGATGGAGGCTGCATTAGTCTCGTGGCTTATATCGATCGATATCGGGGACTGCGACGGCCCTCGAAGGCGATGGACGTAGGAGCGCTTAGAACATGCTCATGCCACGCTCGCCGTGGCCGCGCGGCAGCTTGATCTTGGCCGCGTTCTTCTCGACAGCGTCAAGCGTGTACGCGTAGTGGTCCCCGACGCTCTCAAGCGTGCGCTGGAGGTTAAAGTACCACTTGACGTCGACGGCCGCGACGTACGAGACGAGGTCGGCGAGGGGCGTCGCCGACGACGCCGTCGTCTTGTCCGCATCGACGGTCGACTTTTTGGTCACGTCGCCGTCCTTGCCGCCGACCTCGGCCGTCGTCGAGATTGTATTCGTCTTTTCCGAAGCGTGCTTGGCCGCAAACTTCTCGTACGCGGTCGCGCGCTGCCAGTAGTAGTCGGTCATGCCATCCCACGCCTTCTGGAGCGCGGTGCGGCTGGCGCTGATCTGGAGCTGCACCGACTTTTGGACTTCGACGCCAAAGTTGTTGCCGTCCGCGACCTTGGGGACGAGAAGCTGGATCCAGCGCTCGAGGCTCTGCATCTTCTGGATCGCAATGTGGATCTCGTCGAGCACGATCTGGATCAGATGGACGAGGCGCGCGTTCGATGGCGCGTCCAATGTCACGAGCGGGGCGAAGGCCGCGTAGGCCTGCGCAGGCGAAGACGCGGGGAACTCGCGCGCGAGGACCTCGGCGATCCGGTCCATGTGCATCGGGATCTCGTCGAGGACCTTGGTCGCGATCGCCGTCGTCGCCGCTACGCGCTTCTCCATCGTCGTCGTCGAAAAGGCAAAAATACAATCTGCGGTGCAATGGATTTGAGGCCGTCCATACAAACATCAAGACAATGAAATTCGAAACCCAACTCAATTTTCATGATTTCGGATCGGTCGCCACTCGTCACGACCATGCATCGCCAGCTCGACGACGCCTGCGTGCTCTCGCTCCTCCAGCAGGCGAGTACCGTTCATGCGCGAGGGCGAGTAGTAAGCGTCGTACGGAGCCATGAGTCGGCCATGGCGCCGTGGCCAGTCATGGCCAGTGCCAGGTCCGATGGACCAAGGGATCTGTCGCCTGCCCATATACCTGTAGCCGAGATATTCCTGCTCGTGAGCATCGGTGCGCATACGCCAGCCACGTCGGCGAGATGAACATGCGGGTGGATTATCACTGCTACGAATGCGTGGACTCATTTCGGTGTCGTTGGACTCGCAGTGTGAAGGAGATCCACGATGCGATAGTCGTCCTTGAAGCGGGGAAGCGCGGGGTACCGGTCCGGGTGCAGGAGGTGCGCGAGGATCTCGAGGCCGTCCACAAGCGCCGGCGAAGCGCCGCTAAAGAGGCGGTTCGCATCAAAGATAAAGACGCGGCCGGACTGCACAGCAGGAATGTCTTGAAACCCCTTCTTGGACGGCAGCAGCGCGAAGCTTTCCTTGATGCTCCGCGCCAAGTCAAAGCCGCAGGGCATGATCACAAGGGCTTCGGCGCCCGCGTCGGCCACGTGGCTCCAGTCGATCGCGACCGAAAACGTCTCGGGTGCTGCGAGCGGGTCGTAGCCGCCCGCAAGCGTCACAAGCTCGGGCATCCAATGGCCAGCATTGTAGATTGGATCGAGCCACTCGACGCACACGGTCTTGAGTGGATGGCAGCCGTCGAGGGCAGAGACGACGGCGTCGACGCGACCCTTCATACTGGCGACCATGGCCTGGCCGCGGCCTGCGACGCCGCACGCTGTGGCGATGGCCATGACGTCCTTGTACAAGCCTTGGAGCCCGCGCGCAGTCAAGTAGACGATCTTGGTCCGGACACCAAGCTTTTCGAGGACGGGCAGGACGTTGGCCGGCCCAATTGCGCATACCTCGCACAGATCTTGGAGCAAGACAATGTCTACGTCGCCCAGAAGCGCCTCGTTGATCTCGTACAGCGGCGTGCCAGAAGTAGCGCTGTCACTCACGAGCTGGTCAATGGCCCCGGACGAGTGCGTCGCCGAGTCAAAGACGCACCGAATGACCTTGGGCTTGGCCAGCGCCTCTTTGGGAAACTACGCATCCGTGAGTGCGTGCGAGAAGTGGTGACGTACTTGGCACTCGAAGGTGACGCACGAGAGGAGGTCGGCGAGCCCGAGCTCGTAGCAGATCGTTGTCCCCGCTGGCAAAAACGACGCGATCTTCATCGTTCGACGAAAATGCAAAGTGGCAAAACGAATATCAACTACCGGGTTTGAACCGGTGACCTTCTCGGTGTAAACGAGACGTGATAACCACTACACCAAGCTGATATCTGACGCCTTGTCCAAATTGTGAGATATTAAATAGTTTTATTTTGTATTTAATTGCGTTTAGTGAGCTTTGGATGAAAGGAATTATGAGCAGCCTACCTTCTTCTAGTCATATTGGATGTTGTGAAGCCATGCTGCCGTCACCATGTCTGCGACTGGTATAATGTATACCAGACTGAAAGTGAAGAGGTTGCGCCTCGAAAACAAGTGACTAAATCCACGCAACCATACCATGCCCTGTCGCTCTGCTCGGCGACCATCGTGCATGCATGGGAGCCCACGATGACCACAGCAGACGTCCGACGTGATGCAATCGAGCGATCTTCAATGTGCACGTGTCTATGGCTCCATGGGGGCGACACCGCTTGCTTGCGTCGACGCGGAGCTGGTCGATACGACCAATTGGGTGTTTTTAGTTACCTATCTGATATTCCCAGCTCGTGTTCTTCATGACCCAATTGTGATTTCGCCACGGAGGAGGTCAGACGATGCTCTCTCGCGTGAGTCGTCGCGTCCTCGCCCGCGCGGTGCGCCCCGCGCTTGTGACCAGCGTCGACGTCGATCCAATCGAGGGTACGCTGGCGACGCCGCTCCGCCTCTTTGCCTTCCGGCATAACGCCATCGTGCAAAAGCCGCCAGAACTGCACGCCGACGGCCCACTCGAGCGCCTCCAAGCGCTTCGCATCCAGCTCCACCGCGCCTTTTGCGACGAACAGCTCCAAGACACGATCGCGCACGCGTCCGACCTCTCGAGCGATGGCCTAGTCGCTCTTTTGGAGCCCGAGGTGGCGTTGCCGGCCGGCGAAGTCCGGCAGGCGTACGAGTTTGACCGGAGCGCCGGCATCCCAAACTCGAGCTTTGCGCAGTTGGGCCAGCACCTGTACACTGCAACCAACGAGGCGGCGCTTCGCAGCGAGTGGCAGCACGACGCGCGCGCCTTCCACGCCGTCGCCATCACGTGTGCGTGTTAGGAGGTGTGTATAATGTACTTCAATAGTGACGCTATGATCAAACGCACGCATCTCTACACTGTCCTCTAGCCTCGATCATCCGATTGTGCTAGCCCAACAGCTCCTTCTTCCACTTGGCCACGAGTGCTTGGGACGCGTTGGCCACGTGCTCGGACGGATGCTTTCGCAGCTTGTTGATGCTCCGCCCGAGGCCCGTGGCCTTGAGCGTCTCGACCGTCAGCCGCATCGTGTTGAGCGCCGTGAGCATATCCAGCGCCACAAACTCGTCGAGCGCCTTCATGTCGGTTGTCGCTTCCAAAAGCGCAAGAATGCGCGACAAGTCGGCGCCCTACACACCATCAGCGTCGCTACGTCAAGCGTCCAGCGTATCCGCGAGCGTACGAGCAGTGGCGTGGCGGCTTCGACGGTCGCGGCTTTTGCCAGCACTTCCCGAACACTCGCCTTCATGCGGCTGCGCTTGAGATCCGACTCTAAATGCTCGGCGCTCGCTACGCGCTGCACAGGACCGTATGAGATACCATGGACGCGGCGAGAGATGGCACGTACGCGCTCGTGCTCGGTGGCCGCGAGGCGCTCGAGGTGCTGCAAAATCGACGCGTCGGCAAGCGCTGGCGCATACCCATTGAAGCGCGGCTCCGAGAGCGTGAAGAGCGCAGCCGCGGCCTTGTGCACGAGTTCTTCGGACGTCTCCGTCTCGCGCTGGCGCCACCCGCCGTCCGGCTGTTGGACGCAGAGCATGAAGGCCATGGCGCGCTCGAGCACGGCCTTGGGCGTCGGCTGGAAGCACTTGAGCGCCTACGCACCCCACCACACATTGAGCACTAGGCTAGCCACAGAGGCACTGTGTACGCGGGCAAAGACGCCGAGTAGGTGCACGTCGCTGCGAGCCAAGTGCGTATCAAAGTGCTGCACCATGAAGTGGTACTCGTGCGGCAAGAGGTCCTATAGCGGCGATGATATCGTCTTCGTAAGTTAGGGCGATCGTACAAGCGCCAGCTGCAACGATCCGTGGTGGGTCAGTGTCAGCACGAGACGTGCCACGAGGTAGCACTGGTCCAAGTACTCTCTGTCCGTGAGCTCATGCGGCGGCGCATATGGATACAGCGTCACGACCCATTTCAACACCTATGCACAGAGGATTTCGTGGTGAGAGAAGTCATACGGAAGCGCGTACGCTGGCGTAGGTGCAGCCGATGAAGATGTCGAGGCGCGCTGCAAACCACGTGAGTGTGAGTGCGTTCGTGAGCTTTTGATAGCACGACTGCTTCGAGTCCGAGTGCGCGCACGCGGTCGCGGGGTCCCACCCAAAGTAGTCCTAGCCCAAAGTTACTCTTCACGGCCGCGATATGGCTTGCGAATGCGAGGTACCATGGGTGTGTACGGCGTCATTTGGTTGCTCAGAAAGTAGCGCAGCTCGAGGAGCCGAGGATGCTGCATGTGGCAACAGCTAAATGTGTAGGCCGACGAGATGCAGTCGAGCACCTGCAGCCATACGCTATGAGGATACACATCATACAAGCGACGGGCGCGTACTTGCAATGGCGTCGGCGCGGTGCCGGGCACCCACTCGGGCAGGACGGGTGTGTCGAGGTACTGGCTCGCGAGCTGCCGCGCAAACACCAAGACCGTGCGATGCACATCGCGCTCGGCCGTGATCTCGGCAAGGTCGCAGAGGTACTGTATTGCGTCGAGACCGCAGATGGCAAACACGTCTGGCGCCTTGGCGATCTGGTAGAGGTACCGGAGGCCGGGAATGAGCGCCGCCGATCGCATCTCTGCCTTCCACACTGGCTCCTTGACGATCGTGCTCGCATCCGCTGCCATGCTCGAGCGCTGCAAGATGCTGTGCATGATGCGCTTTACGAGATCCTTGTGGTGCGTCAAGCTCAAGCTCAGCGTCTTCTCGACGTGCTGGCGCACCACCTTGAGGCTGCGCGCGTCCGCGTTGTCCTTGTTCTTGAGCATGAAGGCTTCAATGCACTCCTTGATCTTCGCCTCGAGCTCCGGAGACACAACCTTTGGCGCGATGATGATGGACGTTCCGCCCGCGCCCATGCGCGTCCACATGCCATTCGCCATCGCAACGGCAATATGACCTCTCGGATCCGATACTTTGGAAATATATCATGCCACACAGGAACCCACTAAATTCGGCACCTTGCCCTTGCCGATGGCTAAACCCACGCCACCACCGGTATCGCCTGGCGAATGTGCGGTGGTCTTTCATTTGGAGATGGTCACCCGTGTCGACTTGGAATTCCCACGTAGTAGTAGTGTGCACTGGGATACGTTTCGCGCGGCGCGGACAGGTGTGGTCGATGGAAGTGGCGTGCATTTAGCTGGAGACGAAGCAACAAACGCTGCCATGCTGAACTGTCCTCGCAATGGACCCCGAGCGAATAAGGCTCGGCCATGTTGCAAGCAATGACGGACCCGCTCTTGCAGCTCATGGGTCAAGCGTGGAGGAAACTCTGCGATGTTTTGGTGTGCAGTGGGTGGACATTAAAATCGGCACGTGCCGAATGCAAATGGATGTGGGATCGCGGTTTTATCCCACAACGAAGATTGATGTCCGTCGACGCCCCCGACGCCACGGCCGTGAACGAGCTCTTCCACGCGGACAAGCACCTGGTCGAGATCCTCGAGGAAGAGGAGCTCACGGAGGATGCGCTGGACCGCTTCCGCGCGCTCGTACGTGCCATGCGCGTCCGATCGATACCCATCACGCCCATGCCCATGTAGCTGGATCCGTACCAGGAGCAAGGTGGCCTTCTCGACCCCATCCTCCGGGACATGGTCAACCCCGTCATGACTCGCATCCGCTCCGTGATCCACCTGCTGCAGACGTCGTCCGAGGGCAACACGGTGGCGTTCCCGTTCCAGGTGCTCCAAGATCCGGCCCAGCGCGATTTGCTCCACCGGTCGTGCCAGGTCATCTACCTGCTCTGCAAGGTCCGCGGGTACGCAGGATTCCACGGAGCTGAACACGAATACAAGGACGTTCCCGTAGGTACAAGACGATCGTGAAGCTCCTGTCGCACGAAGTCTCGGAGTTTGAGCCTGTGCTTCTGCTCTTGCAGTCACAAGACCGCGACGACTGCGCGACGTGGGAGATCCGGTACGCCTTCGATATCGCCTTGCCATACAAGGATGTATACGCAGCTGCGTAGATATGTCCTCTTGCTCTGGCTTTCGATCTTGGCCCTCGTGCCCTTTGACCTGAAGACGGTCGACTCGTCCATGAGCGGGCACGAGACAAGCGATACGGTCGCGATCGTGGGCAACATCATCACGATTTGCAAGACGTATCTCCAAGACAGCGGCGCAACGCAGCAAGCCGCTGCGCTCTGCCTTGCCCGTCTGTTGAGGTGCCATTCGGATGCATCGAGCCAGCTCCTGCATGACGTTGTCTAGCCGTCCGGACATGGAGCAGCGGTACCTCAAGATGTTTCTCGCGTACGTCAAGGACGAGTTTGAAGCTTTTTGCGCACCGCACGTTGCCGACATTTCTCCGACCCAAGCGCGCATGCGCCAGTACCGTATTACGGGTACGCTTTGTATCGATATATCAAGTGTACACGACGAACTCATGCGCCACAGGCATCATGCTCAGCCTCTCGTACATTTGCAAGTTTACGCCGCGGGAACAGCACATCGTGCTCATGGGCGACTACTTTGGCCACGTCATGCGCGTCGTCGAGACGATCCAGGCGCACGACGCCGATACGGTCGTCAGTAGCACGCTGCACCGAAAGCTAAGTACGAAGCTGCTGCAACGTATGGGCCTCCTGTACCTCCCGCCCAAGGTCCTATTTCTTGTCATGAGTGTATCTCTCAAACACTAAATAGGTGATGGCATGGCGCTATGCCCGCGGGTTGCGGTCGCTTGAAGTCAACTTGAACCTTGCGGGCGGCGCCCCAACACCGCAAGCCCCGACTGTCACCAACAACAATGACGACGAAGACTTTGAAGTCCCGGAAGAGCTCGAGCAAGTCGTCGATGTTCTCCTCTGTGGCCTTCGTGACCGCGACACGGTTGTGCGCTGGTCTGCCGCCAAGGGCATTGGCCGCATCACCGCGCGTCTCCCATACGAATTCGCCGATGACATTGTCCAGTCTGTCTTGGAGCTCTTCGTTCCCAGCGAATCGGACAGTACGCGCGATCTTTCAGTGCAAAGATGCTCACTTTCTGTGTCTAGCGGCGTGGCACGGCGCGAGTTTGGCGATTGCAGAGTTGTCGCGCCGCTGTGTCTTGCTCCCGCAGCGCCTCCCAGAGGCTGTCCGTGTCGTCGGCCTCGCACTCATGTACGATGTGCGCCGCGGGGCGCACAGCATCGGCGCCCACGTTCGCGATGCGGCCTGCTACGCGGTACGTTGTCCCTGGCTCTCCAATGTGTTCTATGCATGGATATGTGTAGTGCTGGTCGTTTGCACGCGCGTACGAGCCGGCGCTGCTCTTGCCGTACCTCCAAACAACGTTGGCGCCCATCATGCTCACCGTATGTGCGTTTGATCGGGAACTCAACTGTCGTCGCGCTGCGTCCGCTGCGTTTCAGGAGAGCGTTGGTCGGCAGGTAGCCTCCGCCTTCAAGTCAAGAAGAGCCACATAAGCCTGCCCTTAGGGTGTCGCCAACTTTCCCCATGGTATCGACCTCCTGACAAAAGCCGACTACTTTACGCTGGCGTCTGTCACGCATGCGTACTTGGGCGTGAGCTTGTCGATCGCCCAGTACCGCGAATACCGCTACGCGCTCATCGACCATTTGGCCAGCACCAAGGTTGGCTTGCATCATGCACGCATGTATTGTAATAGTGGTGTTATACTGTATACCAGGTGTACCATTGGGACGTGCAAATCCGCGAGCTCGCGACCAAGTCGCTCGGACAACTCTGCGCCTTGGATCCTGCGTATGCAGTGACCAACGTGCTTCCCGCGCTGCTCACAGCGAGTATCTCTCCGCTCGTGGACGTTATCGTGCGTCATGGCGCTACGATGGCACTCACCGAGGTCCATAGCCATGCAATATCTCCTATTTGTCTATACGATTGGATTCGTAGGTGACGCTGCAGCTCGCTGCGGTCCCCGCCTTCCTGGACGGCGAAAGCATTCGCCGGTTCAAGGTCATTCCGATCGAAATGGACAAGCGGCGGCTGTACCGCGGTCGTGGCGGTGAAATGATCCGTGCGGCCGTCTGCCGCGTCATCGACGCCGTCAGTCGCATGGGCTGGGGCGTGTCGCTCGTCGTGCTCAAAAAGTATCTTTCAACGCTCGAAGGTCGCTTCGCGAGCCGCACGTGCACACGAACTCATGTGGTTTTGGATGGGACGCGTAGAATGCATCAAGCACCCGAACGAAGACGTCCGATCGGCGGCCATTGACGCCTACGACAGCCTCGCAACGCGCTACTTGACGAAGCTGCTTGCCAAGCCGGGCTCGGACGCGGCCTTGTTTGTCACTGCGATCGTACCGCGCTTCCTCGCCAACGTGTCGTCCGGTCCCAAACAGTACATCACGATGCGACGGGATTTTGTATCAATCTATATACTCTTAGGTTGCTGAACCCGAACGTGGCGACGCGCCGTGGCTTTCTTCGCGTGCTTGGTACAGCGACACATGCTCTCGGTCGCATCCATTGATGCGGCGTTTAGGGCTCTCTCCGTATGTGATGCTCCAGCCGCATGCGGCTGCTTGCATCGATATCTTTGTCGTTACCGCTGTTGCCTCGCTGCACACGACTGACGAGCAAGACGCCGAGTCGCGCGTCGCGGCCATCCAAGCGCTTGTCGACTACACGACTCGCAATCGATCGGAGCTCGAAGCAGCGACACTGGAGCGTATTCTGGATGCGCTCTTGCGCTGTGCAGACGAAGATTACGGCATGGACAAGCGCGGTGATGTGGGGTCGTGGGTCCGAAAGGAAGCGATGACGGCGTTGGCGTCGATTGCGACGACGTTCGCGCGGCCCATGGCGATGCTAGCGACCGACGACGTTGTCACGATTCCTGGTTTTGGGGCAGGTCGCGTCGTTGACCGCCGAGTCTTGTCGGGCACGTCCAGTGTCGTTCACGTTCAGTTTGAAGCACCGTCCCCGAGCTTCTTTTACTTTGCACCCAACGGCATTGGAATCTTCAACAGCAAGCGCGTTGCGCTGCGTGACGACGCGGCCGACTCGCCGATGCTACCCGTGCTCGCCGAGCGGATTCGGTCGTTGGACGCGTGTTTGCCGCACGCGGTGCAGTTTCCGCCAAAGCTCATGCACCGCTTTGTACGTTCCATACTGTCTCTCGGTCCCTTCATGTTGGCGCTTCCTAGTGCAACGTTCTCGTCAAGCAGCTCAGCGAGAAGCTCGACACGATTCGATCGGTTGCAGGCAATATCCTGTATCAGCTCTTGCGCCACGAGCCGCTGATCGAAGGCATCGCGGATCGCCCTGCCCTCGAGCGCGTCCTCGGCGACGGGTCGGTCAACTGGGCCATGGCCCACGAGACGTTCCCAATCGTCATTCAGGTACACGCGTGCGTGTTGTTGTCCTTGTCGTTACGAGAACACGATGCACCTAGTTGCTGGACAGCCCCGAGTTTATGGCGCCCGTCGTCGCGGGCCTCGTGATTAGCGTCGGCGGACTCACCGAGAGTGTCGTACGATACTTCTTCTCGAATATGAGGCATCATGAGGCGGTAGGTGAAAGCGTCGAAGAGCGCGACGCTCGGATGGCTCAAGGCGCACGTCAAGCAACAAGACTTTCGTATTGCGTCGCAGTTTGCGTACCGGTGCCTCGAGCTCTTTGATGTGCACACGTCGGAGGACCGCGTGGTGATCCCGCTCCTCAAGACTTTGTCGGTGTGTCTGGAAGCCCAAGCCTTCGCCTTCCTCCACAAGGATGGGCCTCTCTTTGGCAACGCCGTGTACGACGCCGTGCGCATTCAAATCAGCAAGTCGTCCGACTTGCACAAGATCAGCGCCGGTCTCTCTGGTGCGCGCACCATGCATGTCATCGGGATATAGCAAAAGTGACTAGTGCTCGTGGGGCTGCTTCCGAGCGAAGTGTCGGTCGAGCAGCGCGCCTTTCGTGGTCTCGCCGTCTTTCTGGGCCATCGGTTTCCCAAGGTCTCGACTCAGCCCTCGTGGTACACACCAATAATAGTATGGTACATTAGGTGCGCAAACTCACGGCCGAGAAGCTCTACACGCGCCTGCTCATGCACGAGGAGCTCGTGGACGAAGCGACGGTATAGACACCCCACAAAAACGTCCATGCGGCTCATGCGTTGCGCCTAGTATGAGGCCGTCTTGGGCACACTGAGCGAGACGGCGTGGGACGGAGATGTACGTTGAGCGCCTTATCGGCAGAAGCATGAACGACCGCCTCTGTAGATCAACGGTGCTCGCACCCAGCGCGACAAGCTCCTGGATCTTCTTGGCTTGGAGAAGATTGCCAAGCGGTACAAGCCCGCATGCGCGACTCTGCGGTGTGACGACGGTGGTTTGTGTCTAGAACGACCGAGGCCAAGGTGGTGGCGGCGCCGGCGCCGGCAGTCAACTCGTACGAGTCGCTCGTCAAGGAGATGGGCTACTAAGACGTCGGTCGATGCTGGGTATTCTACTCGTCTCTGCAATAATACGTACGCACGGCTTGATTACATTTACTATCTTCTACGCCGATTCGCTGCGGCGGGCAATCTCAGCAAGGAGCTCCTTGGTCGAGAGCGTCTCGAGGTTGACGGCCTCAACGTTGAGCCAGTCGACGGGGTTCTTGAGGACTTCGAGCGTCCGCGCTTCCCACGAGCCTTCCTTCGGGATGTTCATGTACTCCCAGCGGGCCGTGAGCGGCAGCGACATGAGAATCGACTCGATGCGCGAGCCGGGCACGTTGAGGCCAAACTTGGTGCCACGGTCGTACATGACGTTGAACTCGACGTACCGGCCGCGACGCACCTGCTGCCAGTCCTTCTGCGCCTGCGTGAACGGCATGTCCTTGCGCTTGAGCATGATGGGCACATAGGCATCCAGCATCGAGTTGGCACACGACCGCGCCATCTGGAACGTCTTCTCCATGTCCTTGTCCATGTCGTCGTAGAAGAAGCCGCCAATGCCACGGTGCTCTTGACGGTGCGGGATGTAAAAGTACTTGTCGCACGTCTCCTTCATCTGCGGGTAGTAGCTCTTGTCGTGCTTGTCGAGCGCAATCTTGTAGACGGCGTGGAAGTGGCGCGCGTCCTCCTCAAAGAGGTACGCGGGCGTGAGATCGGCGCCACCGCCAAACCACGCGAGCTTCTTGGGCTTGCCGGCTTCGTCGAGGCGACCGGTCTCGACTTCAAAGTACCGGTAGTTGAGGTGCATCGTCGGCGCCATCGGGTTGCGCGGGTGGATCACGAGCGAGACGCCGCAGGCAAAGAACGGCAGCGGCTTGTTGACCTCGAGGTTGCGGCCCTGCGAGTTCATCTGGGCAACCGCGCCCTTCTTGAGGTCGCCGTGGATGACTGAGACGTTGACACCGGCCTTCTCAAACACCTTGCCGTCCTGGATGACGCGCGAGCGGCCGCCACCGCCGTGGCCATCGCGTTCCCACTCGTCCGTGCGGAACTTGGTGCCATCGATGGCCTCCATGCCGGTGCAGATCTCGTCCTGGACGCGCAAGATCATGGCCTTCATGCGCTCGCGCATCGGCGCGGTCGTGTCAAACTCGATCGAATCGGCCGGCGTCTTGTCCGCCGACAAGGGCGCGAGGAGGAAGTCCTTGGCGTCGACCTTCTTGGCCTGCGCCGGCGCGTTGCTAGCGCCGAGGGCCATGCCCATGCCCATGGCGGCGACGGCGAGCGTCGGGTTGACGCGGCGAAGGTGGGCGACACGGCCAAACATGCTCAGGGGCTGCTTGGTGGCAGATCTAAAAATGACGGGCGTAGTCGTCTGTGTGGTCAACCCACAGAGGTCCAGCAAAGTGCGTTTGCTACAAAGCGCAGTATTTTTCATTAAGTACGACCGTACTTAAGCGTAGAAAGGCGCGGGGTGTTATGGACACGACCGCAGATGTCCGTTCTTTGCAAGTAGACTTCGCAATGTGCTTGTCTTCGTGCAGCCCCATAGACAAGTTGTCTCTCTTTAGGCTATGGTATCGGCGAAGCGAGTCGCCGCGGCGGCGCGCACGGCCGGTTGGCGCGGTGGGCTGCGGCATCCGGATGAAGGAAGAATCCCTCTGCGGGACGGACGCAATGCTGGGACTCGCGACCTTCATATTATGCACGCTGCGTGGTTATGCAGCGCAGGTACATGGATGCCGCAGCAAGCGAGGGCACCTTCAAAGAGTCGTCATTGACGAACGTAGCGACATCCGTTCGTTCGATGGTTCGTTGCCGGAGTCGGCGCAGAAAGGTCGTGTCGGGCGACTTCACTTGCCATCGGTCGGGCGTCTACTGTAGTACGCAGGACGCCAAGGGTGCATGAACGATCGAGAACCGAGCGTCGCGACAGAGCGTGGGACATGCAATCACGGCGACGAGGGTGTCGAAGCCTTCCACAGCACAAGGAGCACAAGGCCAAACGGTGGCCGCGAGAGGACAAGGCCGAGCCAAAGGTCCGATTTGTGGGCAGTTGACGGCAGTTGATGCAAGGCGGCAGGGGATGCGCGGTTTGGCGTCCGGCGAGACATGTCTGGACCCAAAGTTGAAGTTGGACAACGCAGCGACGATCGCAACCATCACCAAGTTGGTGCTCCTTGCGTTCGAGATGTCCATGCTTGGTGCTCCTACATTCCAGGGGACGCTGTGCTCAACACGACCAGCATGAGGAGGGCGATGATATGTGTAGCGTAGGCTCAACGTGCCAGCACCGTTTCGCATCACAGACAGGATACCGCGTTCATCGGACATCCACGCAAAGACGGGGCCCATGGGCGGGACCAACGCTGGCCACCACGAGCCGACTCGAGACAATTACCAGCCCTTTGACGGACCACCAACTTCTGCTCGAGCGTGCCTCCTCGGTATGCTCATGTCGTTGGTCTTGGCACTCGCGTCAACCTCAAACCCAAGAGGCTCAGGCTCTGAACGCCGCTGACCGTTGCGCACGTCGCGACGATTTGCCTCGTTGTCCGTTCGAGTCGACGGCAGAGCGGGTCCATACAGATTAGATCTTAGCCGGCTATGGGCATCTGACCATGCGCTGAGCCTTGCAGCATGAGCAAGTTCAGCCCTTCGGCACGTCAATGTGTCCATTGATGCTATGCGCATTGCCGGGACCAAGTGGGGCCTAGGCTTCCAGCGCGCCATGCACCCGCTGCCAAGTCGTGCTCGCTTACGTGGCAGAATGTCCGGATACGATGCGAGCCTTTCTGCTTCAACGTCCGGATGACGCGTAGGATCGAAGGAAGGATTTTGGAAAGCACATCTGGGCGGGCGGTCGAGCGCCATGGACACCGGATATGGCTACGGCAAGGACGAAGATGGCAACGATGTCTTGACCAAGATGCGCGAGGAAGAGTTCCCGCACATGCAAGGTACCCTCGCGTTGCTTGCTGCTGCGGTGCCACCCGCGGAGTAGGCCACGTGTACCTCGAGCACGCCGGCGCGACGATGTTCAGCGCCCACCAGCTACGAGACCACCAGCAACTTCTACTCACCAACCTGTATGGTAACCCACACAGTACATCGGCGCCCTCTGGCAGCGCCGCGGCCGCCGCCGTCGACGATCTCCGCGCGCGCCTTGCTGCCTTCTTCAATACGACGCTCGAGACGTACGACATTGTGTTTACGTCGGGCGCCACGGCCGGTCTCAAGCTCGTCGGCGAAGCCTTCCAGTTTACGAGCCAAAGTGCCTTTGTGTACAGCACCGACTCGCACAACAGCGTGCTTGGCATCCGTGCGTTCGCCCGCGACGCCGGCGCGGCCGTTGTCGCCCTGCCCACAACCGCCCTGGACGCGCTGGTCAATACACCTCGCATGGTCTCGCTTGACACTCTGCGCTATAGGCTGTACCTGCACTCGAGACGAGTTCATTGCCAAGCAGCAAGGACGCCGACGCCGATCCTGTGTGGCACTTGTGCGCGTTTCCGGGCGAGTGCAACTTTAGCGGCGCCAAGCACCCGCTGCACCTCGTGTCAGCGATCCAAGCCAATGGCCTCGACACGCTCGACATGGCGCCGTACACGATTGCAGCCTCGAGTAGCAAGCCCGCACCCCGCGGTCGCTGGCTCGTGCTTCTGGACGCTGCCAAACTCGCTGCGACGGCACCCGTCGACCTGTCAACGGTACGGTGCATCACATCCGTCATGGCTATCATATCTGTGCTGCCTAGCACACGCCGGACTTCATGGTGCTGTCGTTCTACAAGCTTTTCGGGTACCCGACGGGCCTCGGCGCGCTCTTCATCAAGAGAAGCAGCCAGCACGCGCTCTCGAAGCGCTACTTTGGCGGCGGCACGCTGGCCACGTCGTTGGCGTCGTCACTGCTGTCGACGCCGCGGCTCGAAATGCACCGGCAGTTTGCCGACGGCACGCCGTCCTTTCTGAGTCTTCTCGCGTGCCGTTTTGGATTGGCCAAGCTCGAGACATTGGGGATGGCTGCGATTGGTAAGCACGTCAGTGCACTCACCACGTACCTCGTGCGGGCGCTGACGTCGCTGCGTCACGCCAACGGCCGCGCAGTGTGCGTCCTCTATGGCGACCACCACCAACCTGAACGGCATGCCGACCACGGGTCTATTGTCGCGTGCAATTTTCTACGAAATGACGGGTGATCGCTGCATCGGGTCAACCGGGTCTCTGAGCTGTCGGCGTGTAGGAGCGCTGTGGGGTACTCGGAAGTGAACACGCTTGCGTCGTTGCACCAGATTCATCTGCGCACCGGCTGCTTTTGCAACCCGGGCGCGTGCCAGCAGTACTTGGGCTTGTCGGCCAACGCTCTCCAGACACACATTGAGCTCGGTAACCTAATTTGCGCATTGTCATTGTCAGACTATTGCAATAGGACACACGTGCGGTGACGCTATGGACGTCATTGCCGGGCAACCGACGGGCGCCGTCCGTGTCTCTGTCGGGTACATGACCACGCAAGACGACGTTGACGCATTTCTCTCGTTCCTCTCGACGTACATTGTCTCGTCGACCTTACCCGCCATGCTGCATGAGCCACATGCGACCCCGCTTGGCGTGCACGTCGCGGCCATCACGCTCTTCCCGATCAAGTCGTGCGCAGGTCTCTCCGTGTCGTCGTGGCCGCTCGGGCCGCGCGGTCTCCTCTACGACCGAGAATGGGCCATCGTCGACCCCGTCTCGGGCAAGGCGCTTCGGCAAAAGGACGCTGCGCGCCTGACGCAGATTCAGCCCACCATCGACTTGACTACGAACGAGCTTGTGATGCACTGCGGCGCACTCACACCTCTACGACTGCCGCTGACGTATGCGCCGTCGACGCTGCAGGTTCTTCTTGAGATATCGCTTGTTTCTCTTGCGTTCACGATCGATGGTGCGTAGCGTCTCACAGTGTGCGCCACGGCGTGCGACGGCGGCCTCTACGACAGCCTCGTCGCTGCATGGTGCACCAAGGCGCTCGACCGGCCGTGTACGCTAGCGCGCGTCGCACCGACGTCGACAACGGCCGTTGGCTTTGCCAACGAAGCTCCGTACCTGCTGCTGTCGCGCGGCAGCGTCGCGGATATGAATGGCCGCATGAAGACACCGGTCTCGGAGGCTGTCTTCCGCGCCAACATTGTCATTGACGGCTGCCGCCCGTACGAAGAAGACTCGTGGAAGGTCGTGCGAGTGGGTGACACACGCTTCGATGTGCTGGGGCCGTGCAGTCGCTGCAGTATGATCAACATTGATCCGACGACGGGCGCCTTTTCGCCAGCGCCACTTCAGACCCTCGCGAGCTACCGCCGCGAGCGCGCCAAGATCTTTTTTGGTCAGTTTTTGCGGCAGCAGTCGAATGCCACCGTGCTGCTTGCTGTCGGCGACCGTGTACTTGGCGAACCCTAACCCTCCCAGACCAAACGCCAAGGCGGAGCATCTAGTTGGATAATCCCTTGTCCATGCAGTGCAATTGCGTCTAATATCACTGCCATCAACATCCTTGCTCATACTACTGCAGCAGATTGCGGAGAGTGGGCTTAGAGCGCGTGACGTCGAGTACACTCTACCTTATTTACACGTGTGCTCGCTAGCTACTCTGTACTGTACACTGCGCCTATGATATCGTATTACGTCTACACCTACACTACCACTAAACTACTCGACAGATATAAACCTACTTGGTACGAATTTGCCTAGGCGTACGGCCGATGGTGCGACGGCCCCGCGGCCGTCTGCGCCATGAAGTCGAGGACAATGTGGTACAGCCCCGACTCGTCGATGGTCGGGCGGTTCGGCGGCCCTTGGAGGTACTCGACAAAGTGCTTGTGGCACTGCGCTGCGTACGCCGCGTCGTTCATCTTGAGCTGCGAGTAGAGGTCGGCGAAATTTGGAAAGATCTCCATGACCAGACGCATCTCGCCTTCTTCGCCGTCGTCGTCCTCAATGACCTCGAGCATCTCGGTCACGACCTCACCCGCGCAGCGCTCCAAGCCTACGCAACACTTGCAATCAGCGCAACGTTGACGACGAGAGACGCACCGAGAAGACCGTCGCGTTTGATCTTGAGCTGCTCAAAGGCCGCCTTGTCTTGCTTGGCGGCGGCGACGCTACCGAGCTCCAAGCCCGCGGCCTTGGCCTATACCCCCGATACGTCGTTAGATTTCTCGACACGCAAGGTCATGCACCTCGGCGTCAAGCTGCGTAAGCATCGCATCGGGGAACGGAAGCCGCGTCTCGGGCTCGGAAAAGTCGCCAGTCGCGAGGATGTACTGGACGAGGCTCTCAATGTTGTAGACAACGATCGTTCCGTTGGGACGCGCAAAGCGAAACTACGAGAACATGTGAGGAGAGATCGGTGGTTCAATCGTCGAGGTACCGTGTGGGGCCCGAGCTCCGTGAGCATGATCGGGTCGACTGTGTTGAGCCCGCTCGAGGCCTTGGCCGTCTTGGTCGTCTTGCGCCACCAGTACTTGGCCTTGGTCTTCTTGCCCTTCTTCCGCTTCTTCTTCTTGCTCTTGCCGACCGCGGACGCATGCGCGCGCTTGGCGTGCTGCATCTGGCGCTGGAGCGCCTGGTGGAGCTCGAGCTTGGAGAGGTGGCGGAAGTACTTCATGCCCATGACCCGCGCGAGGCCGTGGAGCTCGTCCATCGACGGGCACGATCGCGTCTCCATGCGTCTCGGAGGCTTCAAAAACGGAAATGACCAACCTTTCTTCGGTCGCAGCTCAACCGGTTCTTCGACTCGCGCGACTTGCGCGCTGTGAAAAAGCCTTCAACCTTAAAGATTGGCCGATTCGCTTAGATAAGTACACGCCGTCGGACACGGCGCCTGGCTAATCGCACGCCACCGTAGCCCCGACACTTGCCACGCGAGAGGGCTCGGCGGCGCGACACCCTCAGGCGATCGCTCCCGAAACGAGAACCACATAGCACAACACACTAGCTACAAGACGAGGACGTCAACTGTGAGACCACTGCTTCCAAGCAATGCCGGTGCAGTGAAATGGAGTTGTAAGTGGCAAGATACGCGAGCACAGCATTCCTGAAGGCGCCACCTTATTGTGTATGGTCGACTGTATGCGTTGTTGACAGTGCAATGCGCACGCAGCGAGCAACAAGGCTGGCACAGCCGACGTGTCTTTGCTGCGATGCGGCGTGGACATGGCCACGCAGGTGGCCCAGTATGTGCAGGATGCGTCGTCATTGAAGCACCGCAAAAGGCCTTGCTGTTGGGGTCTGATCGCACTGGCTTCTTCATACTGATCTGCAATGAGGGTGGCGATCCTTGACGTCATCCTGCAGGTAGCAGCTGCATTCTTGGGTGTTTCTAGCCGACGTGGCGGGCTTCGTTACACGACTGCTCTTTTTCCAACGTTTTATGGGAATACCTGTTGAAACCCATGCACCGTGCGTTCTGATTGGTCATCGAGTATGACAGGGGCGACGCCGGGTGCTTGATTGGGATGCTTTCTCCCCTACCCCTGCGGCGACGGCTGATTTTGGCCAATCCAATCGCGCAGAACACGAAGATCGGCATCTGATTGGAGAGAAAGTCCGAATTGAGAACAAGATCCCAACGAGGTTTTCTGTGTGAAACAGGCCGATCTTGCCTAAAATGAGGGCTAACCTCCGAATTGTATGCCGAAATCAGGATTCATGGCGGTCGACAAAAAAATAGAAGCCGTCTTCGAAATCTTTCTATCGAAGAGCGCAAGATGCAATAAAAAGCCAGAATGACTGGCCGTTTGTATGCAACCGGGATGCTGGTCGAAGCTCGCGCTTCGGTTGGGAGCGATCGACGCCGTCGCCTCCGGCCATCGGAGCCAGTCAGCCTCGAACCAAACTTGCGTCCGCCGCGTCATACTGTACGACCGCGGATTTGGAACCGAGACTCTTATTTAACTTTCCTCCATTTGCTGCCGGCGCTCGTGACGTGGCAGCGCTCAGAGCTCAGAGCTGGAGGTCAGAGCTCCGAACACCGGACTTTGTTCTTTGATCTTAGAGCTCATCTTTCGCCGCCGTCGGGCTCTTTGCGTTCGAAACGGGTGCAGTTGGCGGCGCGTCGTCAGTGGCGTCCTCGTCGACATCGTCGACGTCTGGCACACAGTGGATCGTCTGGGAGAGCTCGGCACGGCGCCGGTCTTCCTTGGCAAAGTGCGGGTGGGCGCACACCTACAAATAATCTTAGGGTGCAATAAGATACCCGAACCTACCGCCGGCGCCGCGACCTTGATCATGTAGTTGCACGTCGAGGTTTCCTGGATGCTAATGATGTACGGAGGCTGCGTCTTGAGCGTCGGGCAAAAGAGCAAGAGGCGCGTCATCCTAAAAGCGACGTCATGCGCCTTGTGCAACCAATCAGTGACGGGCGTACCGCGTGCGATCCACGGCGTCGCACGGCGTGCCGCTGTCGTAGATCTCTTCGTACGCCGGCTGCTCCTTGTCGTGCGTCCCGTCCATAAACTCGGAGAGAATGGCCTTGTGGTTGGCCTGGAGGGCATCGTTGGCCGCCGCGCTCCACTGCCTACTCGGCGGCTCAGCGATTTTGGTTTTCAAGCATCGGTCGTACCCGAGCGAGAACTCGGCCGTGATTTCGCCCGTCTGTTCACGATGGAACTGGCTAATCTTGTTGCCAAAGCAAACTTCGTACGTCCACCACCCTACGTTGTGTACTTGAATACGGTCCAATCTATCCAGAGAGTATCCGATGGATAGATAGATACCTTCGGTGCGCTTGATGCACGTGTTGGAGGTCGTGAGTGGCTTGAGAAAGTGGTCGACGCTCAAGTCCAGCGCGCTCTCAGCGTACTTGTCCAAGCAAAACGAGCGTGAGCCCAAGAGAAAAGCGGTGAGTGGCGACGACGGCGTTGGCGCGTGGATGCCCAGAAACGCAAGCGCAGGCGTATCCGAGCACGCGAACTGCACGGCAATGTTTGGCCCAAAGTACTGCGTGTAGAGAAGCGTCTCGGGCGTGAATTGCGCCTACATGGTCGCTGGACGGGGAGTGAGATGAGCTTAAAAAGGTACCTCGGGGGACTTGGGCGACGGCTTGATGCGCGTGTACTCGGCCAGCGGCTTGAGATCCGCATCCGACGTGTAGTCGGCGACCTTGGCGCGCGACGCGGGGTCGGCATGTTGGGTTTCGTCGACGAGGTCTGCCCGATGAATCGACTAGACGCGTGTCATAGCCATCCACCCATCTGCAAGGCGTATCGTACCTTGGAGTGACACACCTCGAAGAGCGTGTGCGATTTCACGTGGGCGTGCGTGAGGCACTTGGGGCGGAGCTTCTCGGCGATCTCGCGACCGATCTCGACGCGCGTCTGCTTGACGTCTGTCGTAGGGTCGTGCTCTTCGCTCGAGACCGTGGGCACATAGCACACATATCGCTTCCCGTTGCTGGCCGTCATGGGCATCGGCTCTCCAGGCAGCGTCGAGACTCCAGGCGCATCGTCGAACGGACTCTTCGTGTTGACTTGGCGAAGCGCTTCGGCCTCGCTTCCGTGGAGGCGGACCACATACGACGAGTCAGCCATGACCATGGACGCATCGTGGGCAGAAGAGGCGGCGGCGAAGATGACAGCGACAAGCCATCGACCGACAATCGCAGGCTTCATGGTGCTCTCAAGTGTTCGAGCCAAATGTCACCTCCGCTTGGAGCACACACATTGGTTCAAAACAAGAATAGTTTTGACCAATCACCGGGACTGCATTAGACACCTCAGATTTGTCAAAAATCAGTGCTTATTTTAACCAATCATCTGTCAGCACAGAGGCATAAGATACGCGTCGTTGAGGCCACGCACCAGATTCAATCTCACGCTAAAGAGCCCATGGTGGATCATTGTGGTACTATGGACTAACGTTAGCGTTTCGATGGCCCATCTTGTCGTGTTGACAATGGCTCGGGCCTTGCACAATATAGGATGGTGGAGCTAGATTGATGTAGGGTACTACTGCTGCGTTTTGACTAGTGGTGCTCCTTGTAGTATATCGAGTGGATGTTCATCGACGGGTGAGTCTCGCGCAGGTGCGTCTTTTCCGGAATCGTCGGCGGGTAGTGCTCCACGCGGCCACCATTGATGACGTTATAGGGTCGTCCAGCCTGACCTTCGTTGCGCAGGTGCTGGGCCCTACGCCCGAGCCATGTTCCCTTCGATGAAACACGAAGACGAATGACGCACCGCTCGGGATACCACACGGGTGGCGTCTCGTTAAAGAGCCTGCCATACGTATCCAACTGCGACCCTGGAAACTTGATGCGTTCTTGGCAGACTTTTGTCACGTGCGCGGGCTTGACCGAGTCGTCTTGCGTCAAGTACGAGTAGCCGAGCTTGGGTATTGACGTGGTTTTGCTACACGCAGCGCCGTCGATACAAACTCATTACTGTGGCAGGTACCAGCGCAAATTGGTCTCGCGCGCATTGCGCTGCCGCTGTTCATGCTGCTGCTGGCGGTCGAGAAGACTCGCCGATGCGCCGTAGATTTGCGTGTCTGTCCCATCGTGATCCTGTCTCAATGCGTCGTCAACCTCGCTAGCGTACCGGGATTGGACGGTCCATCGAGGCCCATGACACCTCCGGGGTACTGGTGTCGCCTACGAGCCTAGCTTACAGACAATTCTTCTTCAAAGAGCTCGTACATGAGCTGCACGAGGCGGCGCTCTTTCATGCCTGCGCGCTTCTGCAGCGCCGCTGCCTTCTCGGACGCGGTCGTAAACTGCTGGCGTTCGCGGCGCTGAGCGGGCGTCATGATACCTTCTTGCAGCGTCGCCGAGGCCACGTGGTTGTAGCCTAAAGTCGCGGCTGCCACCGTTGCATTATTTTGCACCGACTCGGGGCGCAAGACGACCAAATTCTAGCATCCATCATCGCTTTCACTTCGAGTACAAATCGTCATTTTTGTACTTTGCCAGCCTGGGCTGCGCCGGCGCGCGCGACAATGTTTTCTTCCAGAGATCTACCAAATTGAGAGTCAACACACTCTTGCTTGGACTAGACTGTACTACCGAATGTGCAATCTCGGGTCGAACGCGGGTTTCGTGCCAAGCACCGTCGTGTGGATGCTGTCGTTCTCCAAGACGATCACCTTCCCACGCGTGTCCAGCCTAGAGAAAATGCTTGAGAATGAGTAGCAAGAGTTGATGCGTACCGCGCAAACGGTGTCACGTTGCAGTTCTCGCCATTCCACGAGCGCTGGACGAGGCCCGTGTGCGTTGCCGGCCGGTTCTACGCGCAGCTCGATGAAGCGTCTCTTAACCGCTACCGTACGCGGCTCTCTTCGTTGAACGTTGACGGCGAGTCCAAGAACCGGTTGAGCCGCGTTGGGTCCGTCGCCTTGGCCTTCGTCGGTCGCATCGCTTGCTAGTTGTGTGTCCTATTTCTGTCCCGCGTTCTCATTGGCGCGATTCGACCAATCAGACGCCTCGATTTTGATGGACAACCATCCGGAAACATACGTGGCACGCTGACGTGTCAGGATGCGCGTCCGAGCATTTCTGATGCCAAGACAACACATCTTCGAATGAAAATTGCATTTGATTGAGAAGTGGAATGCACCATGACGGCTCTTTTTTTCTTCTACTGGATCGAGCAACCGCTTGTCGACTCGTCGTGCTTGGCCTGCCGAGCAGCCTCTTGGGCTGCCATCATCGCCGCGTGCTCTTGCGCGCGGGCGTTCCGGTACATGCGTTCTTCGTACTCGCGTTGCGCGCGATACTGCTGCTCCATCACGGCATTGTACACATCGCGCTGACGGGCTTGTTCTCGAAGCGCAAGCTCGCGAGCACGGGCATCTTCCCATGCATGCAAGCGGGCTCGGTACGCACGCTCTTCTTCGACCCGGGCTGCGCGGGCCACTGCATCGGCTTGCACGTTGGCGCGGTGGGCCGCCGCAGCTTCAGCCATCATGATCTCGTACTGGACGCACACGTCATCGTCGCTGTCATAGTCGTCGTCGTCGTCATTGTCGTCGGCATTACTGTCATAGTCGCTGTCATTGGCGTGCTCGGCCTTGACCATGGCCGTCGCACGCATGGGCGGCGCGCCCGCAACCGCACCGAGACGGACGCAGTGCTCCAAGAAGGGGGCCCACGTCTGGCTTGTTTCCAGGATGTTGGGGTTGCCGACAACGATGAGGAGGGCTTTCGCCCGCGTGATCGCGACGTTGAAGCGCTTGGGGTGCGACACGAACCCGAGGCGAAACTTGGCGTCGTCAGCAAAAAACTCGGTCGAGCTGCGCACGGTCGAGACGAGGATGACGCGGCGCTCGCCGCCTTGAAACTGCTCGACAGACCCGACTTGGACACCATCGAGCTTGTGCTTTTGGAGCGCCATCTGGATCTTCTGGCGCTGCTTGGCGTACGGCGTAATGACGCCAATCTCATCGAGGCGCAGGCCAGGATACGATTTCAGCGATTGAATGTACGTCAGCACAGCGTGGAGCTCAAACAAGTTGTACCACGACGGCGAGTCGGCGTCTTGCATCTCGGCGCCCGTGATGCCGTGGAAGAGGATCGGCGCCGCCGCGTTCGGGAGGCTCGGCCACGCCAGCATGTTGTGCGATGCGCTCTTTGGTGCGTGCGGCGTGAGCTCGCCGTCGTAAAAGAGCGCGTTGGGGACCGTCAGAATGGCTTCGTGGGACCGATAATTGCGCAGCAGCTTGGTCTTGTGGGACGTCGCGTACAACTCACGCTGCATGAGCCGCTCCATGAGCGACATGCTAAGGCCATGCTTGGCGGCCACGTCCGACTTGATGACGGGCCCGAGCTGCATCGGGTCCCCCGCAAGAACCACGGCAGTCCCCGTCAGCGCCAGCGGACCCAGCACCGTGATAACCTCGGGCTCGGACGCCTGCGCCGCCTCGTCGATCGCAATGAGGCTAAAATATCCGCGGGTGACACCGAGGTTGTAGAGCTTGGCGCCCGACCCGATTGTCGAGACAATGACAGAGACCGCCTTGACATCGCTCAGCGTCACAGGCGTAAACCCGCCTTCGCCGTTGGTCTTGGTAAAGGGAAGTACGGCATCTGGCGTGCCTTTGACGCGGCGGCTAAAGGCCATCGCACGCAACAGCTTGGCGGGCGTCAGCTGCGGCGCAAGGCGCTCGACGACATTGTCGGCCGCCGCGTTCGAAGGTGCGCACACGAGGATCTTGGCGTCCGGCTTGGCTCGGAGCAGCTGCACAATCGTCTCGACGAGCGTCACAGTTTTACCCGTGCCGGGCGGCCCAAATAGCAAGTAGGGCGCCTTGACCTTGGCCGACGAGACGACGTGATCGAGAACATCGTCGACGACCTTGCGCTGCTCGGGGTTGATCGGGCGCGTTGGCTGGAGCGATCGCTGGGATCGAACGGCGTTTGGCACTGCTGGCGACGGGAAAAGCAGCATTTCGTGCATCGCCAGCGAGATATTAGCGAGGCCTTGGTGCATCTCGCGCATCGGCGTCCGCGACATGATGAAGCGCACGTTAAAGGCCGCGCCCGCTTGGTACGCGCTTCGAAACGACGTTGGCGTCGCAATGTAAATCGCATCGAGACGCACGTCACTCACGGTGCCCTGGAACGTCTTGGCGCCGCGCGAGAGCCACACTTTGTCGCCCGTCATGAGCGACGGTCGGCCTTCGGCGAGACCAGGCACAGCGAGCTCGTAGAGATCCGGTGTCTTGAACTTGAGGCGCGCACCGTCCATGTCAAACTCGGCCTGCTGCCGGAGGTGCTCGAGCTCTTCGTGGTACAGCAGGTGCCGCAGTCGCACTTGGTAGTTGACGAGACTCAACGGGCCGTCAAAATCCACAGCCGGCAGCGGTGATGGGACCGGATACGACGCCAACGGCACATTGCGTTTGGATTTTGTGCTCTTGGCCGAGTGCTTGTCACCACCGTTCGGCGGTACGAAGTGGAGATTGGCGCGCTGCTTGCGTCGTTGGCGCTTGACGGGGGCGGCCGCGATCGCAGCACGTGTCTCTGCGTCCATACTCGCATCGATGGCGTTGACGCCTTCGACGACACGGCCAATGAAAACGACGGTGCCTTGACGCGTCACAAACTCAAACGCGAGGATCGTCTTGTATTGGCCGGGCACTTTAGGCGAAAAGTGGCATGGAATGCTGAGCTCTGTGTTGGGTGCAAAGACAATATTGGTGCCGATTTTCGGGCCAAACTTGAAGGGCGTACTACCCTTGGACGTCGCGACTTGGAAGACCCGGCGCAGCGTGATCGACTCGGTTGCGCGGTTCGTTACCTTGTAAAACTGAGTCGCTGACGTCTTGGTCTCGACAACATTACGAAAGGCACCGTCGTCCGTGATCTCGACGCCATACTTGTCGGCGGTAAACTTGGCGCCGTAGAGCTTGAAGAGCTTGGCCGGCGACGGGTCGTCGGCGGGTGAGGCCGCCTGATTGCCGACAAAGAAATCGCCGTCGGTGCAGCGAATCGGGGGCGTCGCCGACGCGCCGTGGGCCTTGACAAAGCCGGACGCGTTGCCGCCGTTCGCGAATATGACCGCGCTGATACCCGGGTACTCCTTGTAGAGGACCCCAAGGTGCGACCCCGGGATGCGACCGCCGTTCTCAGCAATAAAACCACCGAGGATCTTGAGCACCGATGCGACGGTCAGCGGCTTGGTGCCGTCTTCGACCCACGCAACGTCACCGTCGACTAGAATGGGCGGGGACGCCTGTGGCCCGTGCTTTCGGAGGAACGTTGAAATCGACGGCTTGAAGACGCCCTTGTCGTTCGGGTGCTTGGTGTAGTAGTCACCCATCTTGGTGAGTGGCAACTTTCCGCCGAGACTCACAATGTACTTGCCGAGACGTCGCATCGCGTCGTGGGCACCTTGGGGTACAGCACCGAGCTGCGCCCGAGCGAGCGACTTTGAGAGCACGTCGTTGTACATATCGGTGGTCATGAGGCTCTTCATGCGGGCGTAGGCAGCCGGAAGATGCTTGACGTCCTGCGCAGCGTAGTCGAGGCGCTGGGCTTCGATCGGGCGGCGGTCCCAGAGACCAAAACCGTGCTGCACCGAGTCTTTCTGTGTGTTGATCGCGCCGGCGTACTGGTGTAAAATCTTGTTGAGGCCCATGAGCGTGTTGGGACTGCTCGTCAGCACTTGATGCGCGACTTGCGTGTCAAAGAGGTTGGTCAAACGGAGGTTAAACTGCCCCGCGAGACCCATGTAGTCGTGACGCGCATCGTGCAAGACAGCAAGCTTGGACGTGAGCACGGCGACGATCTCGGGCTCGCGCAAGATGGCCGGGCACGTGTAGACGTCGAGAATGTAGACGCAGTCCGACCGGCACGAGACCTGGAGCAGCGACATCTTACCAGTGGCCTCCAAGTCACCTTCGAGGTCCATGAAGAGCACGTCCAACTGCTTGAGGACCGCGAAGGCTTGTTTGGCGCCTTGCACAGTCGTAATGTACTTGTATGGAGCTGGTGGTACCGCAGCCGCTGGCGGAGTGGTTGTCGGCGGCGGCGACACTGCTTGTCGGGTCCATGTGATGTCGAGCAGCTTCTTGCCCCCAACGATTGCGAGCTGGAATTGGTCCAGACACCCGTGTATCTCAATGAATTCGGTGCACGAAGCAATCTTCGTCGTCGTCCACATAAAACCGTACGCACGGTGAGCCTGACGGAAGACACCCAAGAAGCACCCGATGTCTGTTGTGGCGCGGTTCAGCGACGCCTCGCCGAGTGCTTTGATGGCTTCAGACGTCGCAGCAAATTGAATCGCATGCGCGGCCACGGCGAGTGGGTAGGCTGCAGACGCCCCATGAGCTGCAATGAAGGCTTCGACGCCACCGGCGGCTGTGACAGTGACCTTGTGCTTTTTGCGCGGCTTGGTCGACGAGTAGAACGCCTCGATGTTTGCCACGCGCACGTAGCCGTGGTGCGCTCGTACGTAGTCGCACAGAGCATCCACACATGCCTTGGCGGCCATGCTCGCACAATGGTCAGGCAAGTGCAAAGTGGCGACATCCAATCCAGCGTCCAATCGGAACAGCAACGTACCGTACTACAGAGTACATTAAATGACTATGATTTGTATTGAATAGCGTACGAACGAATAGCGTACGTGTACATCGTACAATAAGTGACGCAGCCATTTGATTCGTCGTCATTGACGTTTCCCCAACCCCGTTCGTGTAGACTGGTCGGCCAACGGCTCCCTAGCTGCAGACTGGAAATGCTTGCAAGAAGAGAACAGCAAGGCGGTACTCTCGCAGGTTCCTGGTCTAGCTGACCTTTCGCTACCAATTTGATACGACGGGATCACTAATATCAACTTCAACGATCCAACCGATCATCGCCATACAAAGATACCACTATTTCCAAGAGACACCCTGCAACTTGCAAGCGAGCGAGAGTACCATGCGAATACCACGCTCGCGCCGGCTACCATAGATATATGAACGTGTTTCGCGTTATCTTCATAATTACACAAAGACTTCGCATACGTAGAGACTAGCAATCTCCTTCTTCTTCATTGGGTCGCCGGTCCGTGGCTGCGCAGGCGGCGGGCGCCGGCTACCATATATCTGGGGGATGTTAACACAGTGATTTGTGTCTCGTGCCCTCCCTCTGGGACACCACGACGGGCCATGAGCGCATTTGTAGAGCTTCTCGTGGCCATTCACCGCAGCATATTTCACAATTTAAAAAGAACCTTTTCGAGGCCCAATTCAAAGCCAACATCGCATCAGATATCGAGTGAAGCATCGTAATGTGCACAAGCAAGATTTTCGTTTGCGCACTATGGACTAATCGTATAAAGTCTCACAGTGTGTGACAGCAACCGAAGTCCGCCACGTCATTGGCGACAAATTCTCTGCGTACTGCACCGCACGACCTCCCTCTTGACTACAGTACAGTGTTCGCGCATTAATATTTTCTGCATCGAGTTCGCACTTGGCAATTGAGTCGCTCGGGCGTCCGGTCGACTGGCCGTCGAAAATGTCCAAACCTTAACGCACGTTGCCATCGTGACCAACCTTGCGCTATAGCACACTTGTTTTGAAAGCGTCGAGCATGCATCATCCTGCAGCAAAGAGGCGCCGAGGGGCGTCTCCTTTGCGCCGCGCACCTTGTGGATGGTCGCGTCATCCCAAGACGTTCGCGAGAGTTATGCATTTTCAGAGGTATTTCAGCCACGTCAACATGAGGACCATTTTAGATTCGGTCATGTGGAAGCCCGTGTTCTTCGGCATCGTCGCCATCCTCGCGACGCCGCTGCTCGTGCTCTGGGGCGCCGCCGGCTGGGTCCTGACGCGCCCACCACTTGTAGCAGCAACAACGTCCGTCGCGGCCGTGCTCGCGCTGGCCATCGCCGCCTACGTCGACAACGCAACCATGCTCTTTGACGTTCCCGCCGTCCTCGCGGTCGCCCTGGGTCTCTTGATGACGTTGCCAAAGAAGACGCTGTACAACTGGTCGCTTCTGATTGCCTTTCTGTCGTTTGCCATCGCGCGCCGCGTGTGCCTGCCGACGCCATCGACGTCGCTCGCCGGTACGCAACCTTGCCATGCGTTTTGCTCATATACCACATTATAGACTGGATCACAGTGCTGGGCTGCGTGGGCCTTCTCTGGAGCTATACTGCAACGCGGAAGCTATGGGTCTCGGCCAACCTCGAGACGCTCACGACGATCGAAGACCGCCTGTACAATGCGCACATCATGGCCGAGTATAAAATGCTGAAAATCGGCGGCCTTGGCACCGTCCACGTCCCGTACTGCGGCGAGAAGCGCGACGAAAGCCGGTTGCCGCCGCTCAACCTCGTCTTGGTGCATGGCTACGCCGCCGGCAACGCGTTTTGGGCCACGGTACTTGACGTCTCTTACTCGCTCGTCCATCTGATGCCCGTGTGTAGAATTTGCAAACGTTGGCCAAGCACTACAACGTCGTACGTTTAGTAGTCTCTCGTCCTGGGTGTCCATAACGTTCGTTCCATGGTCTGCAGTATGCGGTGGAGTGGCTGGGCATTGGCCGGTCGGACCGCCCCGACCCCAAGTTTGCATCGGTACCCACTTCAAATCCCGCAGGCGCAATACTTATTTGAATGTTTTTGGCTAGTATGACGAAGCCGATGCCTTCTTTGTCGATGCGATCGAGCGCTGGCGCAAGGAGATCCAGGTACCGTTCACAAAATTTGTCAATTTTCCGCTCACATTGTCGCAAATTAGCTCGACCACTTTGTGTTGGCGGGCCATTCGATGGGCGTACGATCTTTGCCTACGGTCTCGTCGTCTGAAATACCTATTAGGGTATTTTTGTGACGCACTACGCTGTCAAGTACCCGGAGCGTGTCGAGGTACACGCTTCGAACCTGTTTCAGCACGCCACTTATACTCTTTATCGAATGTAGCAACTCATCTTGATCTCGCCGGCGGGCGTCGGGTATCCCCCAAAAGATGCGTCCGAGCCGCGCTCGTTCTTCTTCCGCATCGTACGCATGGGCTGGCGCGCCGAGATCACACCTATGGTACAAAACCCTCTCGTTTTGAGGATGAAATTCACCAAGGAGTAGGCCATTGTGCGCTATCTCGGTCCGTTTGGCCACAAGCTCGTGAGCTGGATCTTGCAGCGCCGCATGAGCTGGCTGCCCGACACGAGTGTGCTCAAGAGCGGGATCCTCGACCCTGCGCTCATTGCCGACTACATGTACCACAACTGGGCCCTGAAAAAGTCGGGCGACGTGGCCATGAACACGCATCTTTTGCCGGTACGACTTGAGAGTACTTGGCTACCGCTTGCAGTCGCCGACAAATGTCTGGCATTGTAGGGCGCCTTTGGCAAGCGGGCACTTCGAGACGCCTTGCTCCCGGGGCAAATCAAGATGCCCGTGACCTTTCTGTGCGTACCAAGATGGATCTGTCAATGGCGCTCAAAAATGAACTAGGTATGGCGGAGGGTCGGACTGGATGGACTTTAACCACGGCCAAGACGTTGTCGACCGACTCAAGAGTACGCAGTACGCGTCACTGCGCAAGGTACCCCTCGCCGGCCACCAAGTGTTTATGGACAACGCCGCTGCGTTTAATTCGATGCTCATCGACGCCATCACCGATGGCCTCGAGCTGCGTTCGTTCCGCACCGAGTGATCGTACTAACGTACAACAAAGTAATAAGTTGAATGCATTTTGCCTCTTGGTATATCGTCTAGTTGCACCATCTACATCACTTTTCCCTAGTAGACGCAGTGGCAACCACTGCGGTCAGCATCGATGAAGAGACCACGCGTGCAAGGGCCAGAGCCAAGAGTGCGGCCGCGTACGTTCGACGACGCCGGGCACGTGCACTGCGCGATGCGTTCTGACTTCAACCGCGCGCTCGCAGGGTTTTACTAGGGCTCGAAGCCCGACTGTAGGCGACGACCACATTTTCGCCTCTCAATTTATTAGTCGCAGAAGTAATAGCGATACGTTCGCACGTACTAGCAGCGCGAGATTGGGCCGCAAACTAGACTCTGAATACCAAGCGTCCACGCACGTTCGGAGGGCAGAAGCCTATTGTCCAAGACAGCCTCGCGCTCGAGAGGAAGAGAGGTCGTCATGTGTGCTGCTGTACAACTTGCATGACCGGTGGACAGGACTACAACGGCGATGACGTGTTAGGCGTATTCAGCGTCTCGATACTGCATTGTTCAATGACTAGAGTCCAGGATATCATCGATGCTTTGCAATGCCAGGTTTGGATCCGCGCAGTCCTGAGAGCGATCCACGTCATGATTCTTTTTAGCCAATCAGATGCCAAGGATATTTTGTCCGCGAAAATCATTTCACAATTCGCGCTGAAGAGAAGGCAAGAACCAGCAGCACCCGATGAGCCCCGCGACCGAAGACGAGAGGAACCTCCCGGAGACGCTCCGCGTAGCCATCGAGGCCTCCATGCGCCTCCGAGCAACCGACGAAGATGCGCTCAACCTCGCGGTAGAGCTGTTCAACAAGCACGCGACCGCGCTGGGCTTGAAGGACTGGATCATGGACGAGAGCAAGCTCATAGACTCGGCGACGCTCCTCCAGCGCCTCACCGTGCTCAGAAGATGCTGACGCAGACGATCTGCGAGGAGTCGGCCGTGGACGATGCACCATCGCATGACCAGGTGGTTCCCCGTGCAAGCGGCGGCGCTGCCCTTTTTGGCCACTGCGTTGGGCTCCATAGCTCGTCTAAGGGCTTCGAGGCAACCATGTTGGAGCCACGAACGTGCTGTATGCTCGGGTCATGGACAATGCTGCGTGGCGAGCGCGGACCCTCGGCGGCCAGCTCGTGCAGGCCATGACAGGGCACGCGCAAAAGCTCGCCAAGATCTGCAGCGACGCGTTTGACGCGGTGCTGCAAACGATTATAGAGTGACCGTAACCGTGACTGCTCGCGCACATCGTAACCTTTACGCGTTGCCTGAACTGGATGGATAGTTCAAGATTCCGCGTGTGCTCGACCTTGGGCGCAACAAACTGCTTCCGCTTTGTGGTAAGTGGAATTCTACCGAATATGTAACCACATATCTGGGACATATCCAGTCCCAACGCTTTGTATCTACGCAAGATCCCTGAGGATCGTACCCTTTCGTGGTGCCCCAACCGTCACGTTCATTTTCCAACTAGCGCATTTGGAAACGCTGCTCAGTCAGCAGCCACTGGCGAGGAGACAACAACCATGAGCGTAGGCGACGACTCGATGGTTGGTATCATCGCGTCTGCGATTAGAGCCTCGGTCCCGAGCTATACAAATCGGCTTCGAGCGGACACGCGGCACGCGTGGCCTTCCTCATACAACAAGGTGCCAACGTCAACTGGAAAACGGGGGTAATGCAGATGGGTGTGTGGATGTTGGTGTAGCAATGTCTAGGACGGAACGACACCCCTCTACATTGCGGCGAGGTGGGGCCAAGAAGACGTCGTCAGCCTTCTTCTGCAAGCTGGTGCCGACCCCCACGTTACTTGCGTGCGTTGCAACTTGGTGTTGAGACGTCATTCCAAACAATCTATGTGGCTAGTACGACGAGACACCGTACGCGGTTGCGCATGCCAACAACTACTTTAGCACAGCTCAAGTTCTCAAGTGGGCCATGCACCGTGAACCCGCCCCCGCCGAGGTGGCTGCCGCACAACAGAACAGCAGCAACTGCGCGCGAAAGGTACGTCTTTGCGGTCGTGACTGCGTCGACAATAGTGGTTAGGAAAGCCTCGGGGGTTGCCTGTACAAAGCAGCACAGCTTGGCGATGTGGGCCGAGTGCGAGAGCTGCTCGGCCAGAGCGCCGATGTCGAATGGCGCCACTCGGTAACCGCCGGTGCAACGACGACGACTGACGACCGCATGCTCTAGGGCGGGTTCACGCCGCTCTCCGCCGCCGCTTTCAACGGCCACGATGACGTTGTGGGCCTCCTACTAGATGCCCACGCAAACGCCGACGACGTCTCCAGTGTGAGTCCACACAACAACGTATTAGGAGCAGTATACCACACAGTGATCGCCAAGTAGAATGGCGTCACACCGCTCATTGTCGCAGCGCTTGAGGGTCACGTCATGGTCGTGCGGCTCCTCCTCGGCGCTACTGCCAAAGTCAACTGGAGAGACAATGTACGACCTGAAGACTTCACCGCGATGACGTCATCATCGCAATTCACTAAAACTGCGACCTAGGACGGCGATACAGCGCTGCACGTTGCGTCGCGGACCGGACGTGCTAACGCCGTGCAGCTGCTCCTGGGCGCAGGCGCCGACGTCAACCTGAAAAACAGTGTACAACCCGAAGTCGTTATCATTGCTAAATCTATTACCCAGATCGGCAATACGGCGCTGCACGAAGCGTCCCGAGAGGGTCATGCTACCGCCGTGCAGCTGCTCCTGAGTGCAGGCGCCAAAGTCAACTGGCTATACAATGTACGACCCGAAAACGTTATCACGATGACTACATCGTCGCAAATCGCTCAAGCAACGACTTAGGACGGCAATACAGCGCTGCACATAGCGTCGAGCCGAGGCCATGCTGACGTCGTGGAGCTGCTCTTGCACGCAGGCGTCGACGTCCACCTGAAAAACATTGTACGACCCGAAAACGCTATCACGAAGACGACGTCATCGCTTAAACTACGACCCAGATCGGCAATACGGCGCTGCACGAAGCGTCTCGAAAGGGCCATGCCCCCGCCGTGAAGCTGCTCCTGGGGTCAGGTGCCAAAGTCAACTGCAGCAACAGTGTACGACCCAAAGACTTTATCACGGTGACGTCACCATCGCATATCGCTAAACCTACGACCTAGGACGGCAACACGGCACTGTACCTTGCGAGGAAGGCAGGACATGTTGACGCCTCGAATGTGCTCCTAGGCACTGAGCCGCGTCTAGAAAAGGCAGTCCGCAGCGACAAGGTCGGACAGGTCGAGAGCGTGCTGCGTACCTACAGCATTACCGTGGACGAGCGACTGCGGGGAGTCGACTTTGCGAGTCCTTGGGACGGCGTCTCACTCGTGGCGCACCCGGCGTTGCAGCAAGAGCTCACGTCCAAGCTCCAGTGTGTGTCTTCCCGAGCCTCGCCGTTCGCGGGCATCAACCTGCTTCGCACCTTGCAGCTCTCGAAGCCGATTCCCGAGCTCGACTTGTTGTACGCGCTCGAGCTGCTTCACTTGCCCGGCGACGATGCAGCCGCCGTGACGAGCCACATTGAGAGCTACTTGCGCCACTTGGTGCTCACGGGCAACGCCGCCCACCCGATTCTGCTGCTCGCCTTGGGTCGCTGGCTAAAGGACTTTGCTTTTGTGAAGGCGTTTGCGACCAAGTACCCGACCGCGACAGACGCATGGCTGCTTCCCACCGAGAAACAACACCTTGCGCCGGCGCAAGCCGAGTCACCATCGCCGCACACGGACCCGTGCATTCGGCAGCTCTGGGCGACGTTACCCGGGAAGCCACCAGCGGCCGTGCCAGCCATGGACGCCCTCTTAGATCTCGTGGGCATCCCAAAAGTCAAGCGATTTGCCATTGGGCTCTTCCAAACCGCAGCGGCGCTCGCGCAGATGACGCCCGAGACGCGGCAGAAGAACCCGATTTCCTTAAACTACTGCTTTGTGGGCAACGCGGGCACGGGCAAGACCACGGTGGCGCGCCACTTTGCGACGCTGCTCCACGCCTCAAAGCTGCGCTCCAAGGATGTCTTTGTTGAGACAGATGCGCGGCAGCTCAAGGACGCCGGTGCACCAGCATTCGACAAGCTCGTGCAGAGTGCTTTGGACGGCGTCCTCTTCATCGACGAGGCGTATGATCTTGACCCGGTGGGCGACCTCCGCGGCAAACCGATCGTGGCCGCACTCCTCACCGCGGCCGAGAACCTCCGGGATCGCATCACGATCATCCTCGCGGGCTACGAGACGGACTTGCAGACCAAGCTGTTTGACTTCAACGCTGGTCTCAAAAGTCGTTTTCAGTTTGTGACGTTCGAGGACTTTGATGTGACGGAGCTGGCCGAGGTCTGCCGCCAGCAGGTCGCTGCCCGCGGCTGGACGGCTCCAAAAGCGCTAGCGACGCTCGTCGCCAAGAAACTCATCATCGGCGCCAACACCAAGGGTTTCGGTAACGCGCGGTCGGTGCGGCAGGAGGTAGAGGCCGCCACGCAGCGGGCCATGGCGCGACCCACGTTTCGCGGCCAGTCGCTGGTGCTGTGTCTGGAAGACGTTTTGGCCGAGCACGTGTCGGGAAACCCCAAGCTGCAACGCTACATGGCCGAGCTGGAGGCCAAGATTGGCTGGGCCGCTGTCAAGAAGAGCGTCAAGGAGCTGCTCGCGCTCTGCGCCAAGAACCAAGAGCGCACGCTCACGGGCAAGGCGCCGCTGCCCGTGCGCCTCCACCGCCTCTTCCTCGGCAACCCCGGCACGGGCAAGACGACGTGCGCGGCGCTCTACGGACGCATACTCAAGGAGCTGCGCCTCCTCTCGGGCGGCGACGTTCTGCTCAAGACGGCGAGTGATCTCATGGGCGACCACGTCGGCGACGCGCAAAAGCGGACACTTGCAACGCTCGAGCAAGCCAAAGGCAAGGTGCTCGTCATCGACGAGGCTTATGTGCTCAACGAGGGGAGCTACGGCAAGGAGGTCCTCAACGTCCTCGTCGAGAAGGTGCAGAGCACAGGCCGCGAAGACATTGCCGTGCTCCTCCTTGGGTACGAGGCGCAAATGCTGACCATGCTCCGGGAGCAAAACCCGGGGTTGGCCCGCCGATTCCCGCGTGAAGCCGCCTTTGTTTTCGAAGACTACTCAGCCTTGGAGCTGCTCCAGCTCCTCGAGTACACGTGCAAGCAAGAAGACGTCACGTGTTCGTCCATGGCGATGGAGGCCGCGCTCAACGTGCTCGAGAAGCAGAAGACGTTAGCCAACTTTGGCAACGCCGGCGCCGTCAATACACTGGTGCACCGCGCAATGGCCAAGGCATCGCTGCGCCCTGGCACCTGCATCGTTCTCGGACCCGACGATTTCACCGAGGTAAAAAAAGCAGTCTCAACCGACCCATTTGCAGCCCTCGACGGTCTCTTTGGCATGACAACCGTCAAGAAGGCGCTATTGAGTTTGCGCAACGCGATGCTCGTGGCACGCGCCGACGGCGATGCGCTGCCAACCCTTGGCCACTTTGTCTTTCGAGGGTCCCCTGGCACGGGCAAAACCACGGTCGCGCGGGCGCTGGCGACCATCTTGTTCCAGCTGGACTTGCTCACAGTGGAGAGTGTCGTGGAAACGACGGGACTCGAACTCATGGGCAACTTTGTCGGCCAGACCAAGACCGTCGTCCAGGAAAAACTCTCGGCGGCCAACGGCGGCATCCTTTTCATCGACGAAGCGTACGCGCTCGCGGATGGTCCGTATGGTCGGGACGCCGTCGCGACACTTGTCGCGGCCATGACCGATCCAACGTACAAGAGCCTCGTGATGGTTGTCGCCGGGTATCCGCGCGAGATGGACGCCATGCTCAACACAAATGGAGGGCTCAAATCCCGCTTCACTCGCTTCTTTGACTTTCCCGACTGGTCGCCGGAAGACTGCGTCGTATTTGTCAAGACGACGATGGACAAAAGCAACTTTGTAGCGGACGAGAGCGTCCACGAGGCGCTCGCCACCTACTTTGGCGTGCTGCGCCAGCTCCCAGGCTGGGGCAACGGCCGCGACGTCCAGAGCGTCTGGAAAGCCGTCCTCGGGGCCCGCGCCGACCGCATCGCAGGGCTCCCGGCGCAGCTGCCAAAGATCATCCTCGAGGCCGACGTGGACATTGCGTGCGATGAGATCGTGCGCGCCCGATCCGCCCCCGTCACACCGCTGGCCGCAAAGGTGACGAGCATGTTTGTCGAGGAGGTGGCTACGGCCGTGGCCCCTGCTGTGGCGTCGCGCGCCCCCGAGCGCACGAAGAAAGGCAACGTCGAGGCCAGTCACACTCGTGAGAAGGCCGCGATGAAGACGTGCCAGCGCGATGCCGGCGTCTCGGACGCGGACTGGGCCGAGCTTGAGGCGGCCAAGGAGGCCCACGAAGCCCATCTGGCACAGTGGCATCGCGAGCTCGACGCTCAAGCGCTGGCCAAGAAGCTCCAGGAAGAAGCCGAACTTCGAGAGCGCATTCGCAGTCTCTGCAAGTGCCCGATGGGATACGAGTGGATCCAGCTCTCAGGAGGCTGGCGCTGCAGCGGTGGCAGTCACTTTGTCACGGACGCAGAACTCAACGCCAAGTTCACCGCATAAGCCGTACATTGTTGAAGTCCACCGCAAGTCGGACTTTAGTCTAGTCAGAGCTCAGCTAGCGTAGGTTACATACAACAAGGTAATGTATTTCAAGTGCGAGGGATTTGGATGGAGCAGGACGCAGTTAACGGCAGTCTCCCCTAGGATTCCCAGCCTTTCTCAAGGTACCGAGGCTCATCGAAGTTCTATTGGCAAGCGCATCGCCTGGAGCTCAATCGAACCAAGTCAATACATGATGATCAGCCCTCCATCAGGCGCACGAGTCTCTCATTTGAATTCGCGACAATGCGGCAGTCGAGTCAATCACGTTGTGGCAACAGAAGCACCGTTAACGAGGCAAACGCTCGAGCTGTGTTTCAATGTCTTCGAGGTCGTGGGCGTACGAGCACGAAATTCTGGTGCACTTGCGCCTGTTGTGGTTTCGCGCAAGCTCGGGCTGGCTGTTGGCAATGACGTACTCGCGCAGCGGAAGCAACTTGGTCACGCGCGGCAAGGCCCAACCAGGAAAGATCGTCTCAAATTCTCGGTACGATCGGTAGGATCCATCACCATTCGGAATCGCGATGAAGTTTGTTCTCGACCACGCCAGTTGCGCAACTCGATGCACAAAGCTCCTTCCGGGACACATCGTTCGTCGACAAGTTTCTCGCAGATCGATCGACGCCTCGCGCAAGGCCAATCCACCGCTCGCCACGCAAGTGCCAAAGCGTTTGCATGCCGTCATCTACGACAGTGGGATCTTTACCCCCGACGAACGTCGACTCTTGACCAGCGAGTCCGGGGTAAAGATATGGTTGCTATGGATGACGGCATGCCAAAGCTTCAACATTTGCATGGCGAGCGGCGGCTTGGCCTTGCGCGCCTTGTCCAAAATCTCGTCAAAAGAAAAGCCGCCATTTTCTTCTGTGGACCGCACGATGGCCACTGGCAAGGCGCCATGCTCGGGCGAGGGAGCCGGTTGTACCACCGGCTACATGTTGGCAACGCCTAGCGGCGACGCGACTACTGGCGATACCGGTACGACTAGACAGGATGTTGGATGTTGTGAAAGTGGATGTTGTGAAAGTAGATGTTGAGAAAGTAGACAGGATGTTGGATGTTGTGAAAGTGGATGTTGTGAAAGTGGATGTTGTGAAAGTAGAGAACAGGATGTTGGATGTTGCGAAAGTACTTGATCTACATGTAGTCGAGTACCTACTAGTAGGCTCCCAGAACCTGAGCTGTGCGAGTGGGTTTGTCATTTAAGTAGAGAGGATTTAGACAGGATGTTGAGAAAGTAGACGGGATGTTGGAATTTGTGAAGGTGGATGTTGTGAAAGTGGATGTTGTGAAAGTGGATGTTATGAAAGTAGATGTTGAGAAAGTAGAGAGGATCTAGACAGGATGCTGAGAAAGTAGACAGGATGTTGGATGTTGTGAAAGTAGCGCAGAGGCGTCGATGTCAACCTGACGTCAAATCAAGTCGAGCGGACGACGTGCCTTGAAATCCTTGGCCATCGTTCCGTGTGCGCTTGTGGACTGTATACCACTTCACGCGCCCTGGATCAAGAGCGCGGGGTCGAAGGGATGCCATACAAAGCAATCAAACGTCCAGCTTCCGAGGTGAGATCTGTGGTAGGTGAGTAGGTAAGAAGCAATGTACTACTAACAGCAACATCATAATGGATGTAAATACGTTTCTTGCTTATCAAATCAACACCTCGACGCCGCAGTCGTAGCAGAACTGGACGAGCGTTAGCTGGTCGTGGTCCATGGCCCACGCAGCAAGCGCGCGCAAAAACTACGCACCGCATCAGGATCATCATCCTTCCCTACAACGTACTGTGGTCTGGTGCGCAGGGTGCAACCCGACAGCGAGTACGAGGCGCAAGGCTTCGAGCACAAAGCCGTTGAGCACCAGCACCGAGAGCGCCGCCAGTGGACCACCATCGTTGA